GTGCGAATCGGACAAAGCGTGTAGGAGGAACACGAAAAAGTAGTTTAACGACATTTCGCACTCTAACGAAAAAAAATTATAGGCGGAAGTGGGCGGGGCCTATATGGAGAGATTCAGCTCCATTCACCGAACGCGTGGATATAAGTTTTTTGAATGTGCGAGCAAATATGCAAAAGTTATTAAGTAACAAAAAAGTGAAAATTCGTTTCTCAATAGTAGCGCCACCTAGTGGCAGACCCGAAAGTGACACATGTAAACTCCGCATTTTCACCAGGCCTGACAACTTTGCCAAATAAAATTGACTTTTCGTATATGTTCAGGGGGGTAAAAATGCAGTCAAAGGGTCCTAAAAATAATAATAATAATAATAATAATAATTAAAGCTGCAAGCAGCGTTGAGCGGGACCTCGCACTCCACCCAACTCGGGGCGTGCTGCGGCCGCGTCGCGTGCCGTCGTAACACGTGGGGACCACAACATGAAAATGTCACGTAAATCAGCTCAAAATCGCCAAGCAGCGCTTACCTCCTGTTGCCGGAAGGTGGCGCTATCACTATGTCTTAATATTGTCATGTAGACAAGTTCAAGGGCGGGACTGTTGTAAAACACGTGAAGTTTCATTGAGATTGGACCACGTACGCTGAAGTTATGAGGACGTGTTCAGGGCGAGACTGTTACAGAATATATGAAGTTCACTGGAGATTGGACATTGCACACTGAAGTTATGAGTGGCATTTCATGGCGAATCCCTGAATTACAAGTCGTCACTGGCACGGTCATTTCACGTAACGCAGCCAAAATCGCCACAGCGCTTACTTCCTGTTGCCAGTAGGTGGCGCTATCACTATGTCTGAATATTGTCATGTAGACGTGTTCAGGGTGGGACTGTTATCAAACACGTGAAGTTTCATTGAGATTGGATCATGATGTTCAGGGTGGGACTGTACACTGAAGTTGAGTACTATCTGTTTATGGTGAATGGTCGAAATTCAACGCAACGCCACGGGTACGCCGTTTGACGGAATGTCGTAAATAGCACAACTTTTAATCATGAATGTCTTTAGATTGCGCTGATTAAATTGGAAGTTGATCCGATAAATTCCCTAGGAGGAGTTCGTTCAAATACAAGGCAAAAAATCACAGAAAATGAGCACGGAATGCAAAATGGCTGACTTTGATGCCAAGCCACGGACACGCCGTTTGACGGAATGTCGTAAATAGCACAACTTTTAATCATGAATGTCTTTAGATTGCGCTGATTAAATTTGAAGTAGATCCGATAAATTCCCTAGGAGGAGTTCGTTCAAATACAACGCGAAAAATCACAGAAAATGACCAAAAAAATCTAAATGGCTGACTTTGATGCCACGCCACGGACACGCCCTTCAACGTACATGCACAAATAGCACAACCTTTAATCAGCACCATTTTTGGACTGTACTCACAAATTTTGAAGCATATCTGATAAATTCCCTAGGAGGAGTTCGTTCAAATACAACGCGAAAAGTTCACCGAAAGTGAAACTTTAAATCAAAATGGCCGACTTCCTGTGGGGTTTGGGGTATGGGTCCAAGAGGCTTTTTTGTACGTCCCGGCATGTTACACGTGCCTACCGAGTTTCGTACATATCGGTGAAACGTGGCGCCGGGGCTTCTGTTTTTTTATCCTGTAGGGGGCGCTACACACATGACAAACATGATTTTTGGTATGTGAGCTTCAGGCACTACTCTACACGTGCCCTGTGAATTTCATATTACAGTATTCGCACAGTGATGTTTCATGCCAAAAGAGCGCCACCTCGTGGCGTATTTTGTTTTTCCTTTTTAAGGGAGCCTCAGGGAGCCAGGGGGAAGCATCATACCAAGTTTCATCTTAATCACACATACCGTTGTAGAGATATAAACTTCTTCATTTTAAAGAGCGCCACCTAGTGGCAATGGCCTGAAATTGTGCATGATGCTTAAGGAAGACATGTGGAACTATGGACCCGAGTTTGGTGTCAATCGGACATACCAATGTGGAGAAATGGTCCACTTCCTTTTTTGACGAAAAATCTACAGGAAGTTGGAATTTTATAGCGTGCTTATTTTTTTAAATTTCAAAAATGTTCAAATTAGCCTTTTTTGCCAGGGCGGTCCCCAGGTACTAGGTGAAAAATTTCGTGTGAATCGGACAAAGCGTGTAGGAGGAACACTTAAAAGTAGTTTATGGACATTTTGCGCTCTAGAAAAAAAAAAATTCTAGGCGGAAGTGGGCGGGGCTTATATGGGGAGATTCAGCTCCATTCACCGAACACGTGGATGTAAGTTTTTTGAATGTGCGACAAAATATGCAGAAGTTATTAGCCTAAACGCAATTTTTTATGATAGTAGCGCCACCTAGTGGCAGACCCGAAAGCGACACATGTAATATCCCCATTTTCACCAGGCCTGATCACTTTGCCAAATAAAATTGACTTTTCGTATATGTTCAGGGGGGCAAAAATGCAGTCAATGGGGGCTAAAAATAATAATAAGTAAGAAGAAGAAATCGAGCAAAAACAATAGGGACCTCCAGCGGTCGCTTGCGAGGTCCCTAATTAAAGCTGCAAGCAGCGTTGAGCGGGACCTCGCACTCCACGCAACTCGGGGCGTGCTGCGGCCGCGTCGCGTGCCGTCGTTACACGTGGGGACCAAAACATGAAAATGTCACGTAAATCAGCTCAAAATCGCCACACAGCGCTTACCTCCTGTTGCTGGTAGGTGGTGCTATCACTATGTCTTAATATTGTCATGTAGACAAGTTCAGGGCGGGACTGTTGTAACACACCTTAAGTTTCATTGAGATTGGACCACGTACGCTGAAGTTACGAGGACATGTTCCGGGCGAGACTGTTACAGAATATATGAAGTTTACTGGAGATTGCACAATGCACACTGAAGTTATGAGTGGCATTTCATGGCGGATCCACTGAATTTGACAAGTCGTCACCGGCACGGTCCTTTCACGTAACGCAGCTCAAAATCGTAACGCAGCTCAAAATCGCCACGCAGCGCTTACTTCTTATTGCCAGTAGGTGGCGCTATCACTATGTCTGAATATTGTCATGTAGACGTGTTCAGGGTGGGACTGTTATCAAACACGTGAAGTTTCATTGAGATTGGATCATGAACGCTGAAGTTATGAGGACGTGTTCAGGGTGGGAACTGTACACTGAAGTTGAGTACTATCTGTTTATGGTGAATGGTCGAAATTCAACGCAACGCCACGGGTACGCCGTTTGACGGAATGTCGTAAATAGCACAACTTTTAATCATGAATGTCTTTAGATTGCGCTGATTAAATTGGAAGTTGATCCGATAAATTCCCTAGGAGGAGTTCGTTCAAATACAAGGCGAAAAATCACAGAAAATGAGCACGGAATGCAAAATGGCTGACTTTGATGCCAAGCCACGGACACGCCGTTTGACGGAATGTCGTAAATAGCACAACTTTTAATCATGAATGTCTTTAGATTGCGCTGATTAAATCTGAAGTAGATCCGATAAATTCCCTAGGAGGAGTTCGTTCAAATACAACGCGAAAAATCACAGAAAATGACCAAAAAATCTAAATGGCTGACTTTGATGCCACGCCACGGACACGCCCTTCAACGTACATGCACAAATAGCACAACTTTTAATCAGAACCATTTTTTGAGTGTACTCACAAATTTTGAAGCATATCCGATAAATTCCCTAGGAGGAGTTCGTTCAAATACAGTGCGAAAAGTTCGCCGAAATCGAAACTTTAAATCAAAATGGCCGACTTCCTGTGTGGTGTCGGGTATGGGTCCAAGAGGCTTTTTTGTACGTCTCAGCATGTTAAACATGCCTACCAAGTTTCGTACATATCGGTGAAACGTGGCGCCGGGGCTGCTGTTTTTTTATCCTGTAGGGGGCGCTACACACAGGACAAACACGATTTTTGGTATGTGAGCTTCAGGCACTACTCTACACGTGCCCTGTGAATTTCATATTCATAACTATTACGGTCTTCGCACAGTGATTTTTCATGCCAACAAGAGCGCCACCCAGTGGCGTGATTTTTTTTTCCTTTTAAGGTGAGCCTCAGGGAGCCATGGGGAAGCATCCTACCAAGTTTCATTTTAATCACACGTGCTGTTGCAGAGATATAAACGTCCTTCATTTTAAAGAGCGCCACCTAGTGGTAATGGTCTGAAATTGTGCACGATGCCTAAGGAAGACATGTGGAACTATGGACCCAAGTTTGGTGTCAATCGGACATACCAATGTGGAGAAATGGTCCTCTTCCTTTTTTGATGAAAAATTTACAGGAAGTCCTAATTTTATAGCGTGCTTATTTTTTGAAATTTCAAAAAGGTTCAAATTACTTTTTTTGCCAGGGCGGTCCCCAGGTGCTAGGTGAAAAATTTCGTGTGAATCGGCCAAAGTGTGTAGGAGGACCACGAAAAGGTACTTTAAGGACATTTAGCGCTCTAACGAAAAAAAATTATAGGCGGAAGTGGGCGGGGCCTATATGGAGAGATTCAGCTCCATTCACCGAACGCGTGGATATAAGTTTTTTGAATGTGCGACAAAATATGCAAAAGTTATTAAGTAACAAAAAAGTGAAAATTCTTTTCTCAATAGTAGCGCCACCTAGTGGCAGACCCGAAAGTGACACATGTAAACTCCGCATTTTCACCAGGCCTGACCACTTTGCCAAATAAAATTGACTTTTCGTATATGTTCAGGGGGCAAAAATGCAGTCAAAGGGGGCTAAAAATAATAATAAGTAAGAAGAAGAAATCGAGCAAAAACAATAGGGACCTCCAGCGGTCGCTTGCGAGGTCCTAATTAAAGCTGCAAGCAGCGTTGAGCGGGACCTCGCACCCCACCCAACTCGGGGCGTGCTGCGGCCGCGTCGCGTGCCGTCGTAACACTTGGGGACCACAACATGAAAATGTCACGTAAATCAGCTCAAAATCGCCACGCAGCGCTTACCACCTGTTGCCGGAAGGTGGCGCTATCACTATGTCTTAATATTGTCATGTAGACAAGTTCAGGGCGGGACTGTTGTAACACACGTGAAGTGTCATTGAGATTGGACCACTTACGCTGAAGTTACGAGGACGTGTTCAGGGCGAGACTGTTACAGAATATATGAAGTTCACTGGAGATTGGACATTGCACACTGAAGTTATGAGTGGCATTTCATGGCGAATCCACTGAATTTGACAAGTCGTTACTGGCAACGTCATTTCACGTAACGCAGCTCAAAATCGCCACGCAACGCTTACTTCCTGTTGCCAGTAGGTGGCGCTATCACTATGTCTGAATATTGTCATGTAGACATGTTCAGGGTGGGACTTATCAAACACGTGAAGTTTCATTGAAATTGGATCATGTACACTGAAGTTGAGTACTATCTGTTTATGGTGACTGGTCGAAATTCAATGCAATGCCACGGGCACGCCGTTTGACGGAATGTCGTAAATAGCACAACTTTAAATCATGAATGTCTTTAGATTGCGCTGATAAAATTTGAAGTAGATCCGATAAATTCCCTAGGAGGAGTTCGTTCAAATACAAGGCGAAAAATCACAGAAAATGAGCACAGAATTTAAAATGGCTGAGTTTGATGCCAAGCCACGGACACGCCGTTTGATGGAATGTCGTAAATAGCACAACTTTTAATCATGAATGTCTTTAGATTGCGCTGATTAAATCTGAAGTAGATCCGATAAATTCCCTAGGAGGAGTTCGTTCAAATACAAAGCGAAAAATCACAGAAAATGAGCACAGAATGCAAAATGGCTGACTTTGATGGCAAGCCACGGACACGCCGTTTGACGGAATGTCGTAAATAGCACAACTTTTAATCATGAATGTCTTTAGATTGCGCTGATTAAATTTGAAGTTGATCCGATAAATTCCCTAGGAGGAGTTCGTTCAAATACAAGGCGAAAAATTCACCGAAAATGCGCACGGAATTCACTATGGCCAACTTTGAGGGCACGCCACGGACACGCCCTTCAACGTACATGCACAAATAGCACAACTTTTAATCAGGACCATTTTTTGAGTGTACTCACAAATTTTGAAGCATATCCGATAAATTCCCTAGGAGGAGTTCGTTCAAATACAACGCGAAAAGTTCGCCGAAATCGAAACTTTAAATCAAAATGGCCGACTTCCTGTGGGGTTTGGGGTATGGGTCCAAGAGGCTTTTTTGTACATCCCGGCATGTTACGCGTGCCTACCAAGTTTCGTACATATCGGTGAAACGTGGCGCCGGGGCTGCTGTTTTTTTATCCTGTAGGGGGCGCTACACACACGACAAACACGATTTTTGGTATGTGAGCTTCAGGCACTACTCTACACGTGCCCTGTGAATTTCATATTCATAACTATTACGGTCTCCGCACAGTGATTTATCCTGCCACCAGAGCGCCACCCAGTGGCCTGATTTTTTTTCCTTTTTTGGGGAGCCTCAGTGAGCCATGGGCAAGCATCCTACCAAGTTTCATTTTAATCACACGTGCCGTTGCAGAGATATAAACGTCTTCATTTTAAAGAGCGCCACCTAGTGGTTATGGTCTGAAATTGTGCACGGTGCCTAAGGAGGACATGAGGAACTATGGACCCAAGTTTGATGTGAATCAAACATACCAATGTTAAGAAATGGTCCTCTTTCTTTTTTGACGAAAAATCTACAGGAAGTCTTAATTTTACAGCGCGCTTATTTTTTGAAATTTCAAAAAGGTTCAAATTACTTTTTTTGCCAGGGCGGTCCCCAGGTGCTAGGTGAAAAATTTCGTGGGAATTGGACAAAGCGTGTAGGAGGACCACGAAAACGTACTTTAAGGACTTTTCGCACTCTAGCGGAAAAAAATTATAGGCGGAAGTGGGCGGGGCCTATATGGAGAGATTCAGCTCCATTCACTGAACGCGTGGATATAAGTTTTTTGAATGTGCGACAAAATATGCAGAAGTTATTAAGTAACCAAAAAGTGAAAATACTTTCCTAAATAGTAGCGCCACCTAGTGGCCGACCTGAAAAAGACACATAGAATATCAAATTTTTCACCAGGCCTGACAACTTTGCCAAATAAAATTGAGTTTTCGTATATATTCAGGGGGGGAAAAACGCAGTCGAAGTGGCCTAAAAATAATAATAATAATAGGTAAGAAATCGAGCAAAAACAATAGGGACCTCCAGCGGTCGCTTGCGAGGTCCCTAATAAGAAACGAACCAAAAACAATAGGGACCTCCAGCGGTCGCTTGCGAGGTCCCTAATTAAAGCTGCAAGCAGCGTTGAGCGGGACCTCGCACTCCACCCAACTCGGGACGTGCTGCAGCCACGTGGCGTGCCGTCGTAACACATGGGGACCACAACATGAAAATGTCACGTAAATCAGCTCAAAATCGCCAAGCAGCGCTTACCTCCTGTTGCCAGAAGGTGGCGCTATCACTATGTCTGAATGTTGTCATGTAGACATGTTCAAGGCGCGATTGTTATCAAACACGTGAAGTTTCATTGAGATTGGACCACGTACGCTGAAGTTATGAGGACGTGTTCAGGGCAAAACTGTTTCAGAATATATTAAGTTTATCGGAGATTGGACATTGCACACTGAAGTTATGAGTGGCATTTCATGGCGAATCCGCTGAATTGGACAAGTCGTCACTGGCACAGTCATTTCACGTCACGCAGCTCAAAATCGTCACGCAGCTCAAAATCGCCACGCAGCGCTTACTTCCTGTTGCCAGTGGGTGGCGCTATCACTTTGTCTGAATATTGTCATGTAGACGTGTTCAGGGTGGGAGTGTTATCAAACACGTGAAGTTTCATTGAGATTGGATCATGTACGCTGAAGTTATGAGGACGTGTTCAGGGTGGGACTGTACACTGAAGTTGAGTACTATCTGTTTAGGGTGACTGGTCGAAATTCAACGCAACGCCACGGGCACGCCGTTTGACGGAATGTCGTAAATAGCACAACTTTAAATCATGAATGTCTTTAGATTGTGCTGATTAAATTTGAAGTAGATCCGATAAATTCCCTAGGAGGAGTTCGTTCAAATACAAGGCGAAAAATCACAGAAAATGAGCACAGAATGCAAAATGGCTGACTTTGATGGGAAGCCACGGACACGCCGTTTGACGGAATGTCGTAAATAGCACAACTTTAAATCAGGACCATTTTTTGAGTGTACTCACAAATTTTGAAGCATATCGGATAAATTCCCTAGGAGGAGTTCGTTCAAACACAATGCGAAAAATTCGCAGAAAGTGAAACTTTAAATCAAAATGTCCGACTTCCTGTGGGGTTTCGGGTATGGGTCCAAGAGGCTTTTTTGTACGTCCCGGCATTCTAAACGGGCCTACCGAGTTTCGTACATATCGTTGAAACGTGGCGCCGGGGCTGCTGTTTTTTTATCCTGTAGGGGGCGCTACACACAGGACAAACACGATTTTTGATATGTGAGCTTCAGGCACTACTCTACACGTGCCCTGTGAATTTCATATTCATAACTATTACGGTGTCCGTACAGTGATTTTTCATGCCAAAAGAGCGCCACCTAGTGGCGTATTTTTTTTGTCCTTTTTAAGGGAGCCTCAGGGAGCCATGGGGAAGCATCGTACCAAGTTTCATCTTAATCACACATACCGTTGTAGAGATATAAACGTCTTCATTTTAAAGAGCGCCACCTAGTGCTGATGGCCTGAAATTGTGCACGATGCTTAAGGAAGACACCTGGAACTATGCACCCAAGTTTGGTGTCAATCGGACATACCAATGTGGAGAAATGGTCCACTTCCTTTTTTGATGAAAATTCCACAGGAAGTGCTAATTTTATAGCGTGCTTATTGTTTGAAATTTCGAAAATGTTCAAATTGCTTTTTTTGCCAGGGCGGTCCCCAGGTGCTAGGTGAAAAATTTCGTGCGAATCGGACAAAGCGTGTAGGAGGAACACGAAAAAGTAGTTTAACGACATTTCGCACTCTAACGAAAAAAAATTATAGGCGGAAGTGGGCGGGGCCTATATGGAGAGATTCAGCTCCATTCACCGAACGCGTGGATATAAGTTTTTTGAATGTGCGAGCAAATATGCAAAAGTTATTAAGTAACAAAAAAGTGAAAATTCGTTTCTCAATAGTAGCGCCACCTAGTGGCAGACCCGAAAGTGACACATGTAAACTCCGCATTTTCACCAGGCCTGACAACTTTGCCAAATAAAATTGACTTTTCGTATATGTTCAGGGGGGTAAAAATGCAGTCAAAGGGTCCTAAAAATAATAATAATAATAATAATTAAAGCTGCAAGCAGCGTTGAGCGGGACCTCGCACTCCACCCAACTCGGGACGTGCGCAGCCACGTGCGCGTGCCGTCGTAACACATGGGGACCACAACATGAAAATGTCACGTAAATCAGCTCAAAATCGCCAAGCAGCGCTTACCTGCTGTTGCCAGAAGGTGGCGCTATCACTATGTCTGAATGTTGTCATGTAGACATGTTCAAGGCGCGATTGTTATCAAACACGTGAAGTTTCATTGAGATTGGACCACGTACGCTGAAGTTATGAGGACGTGTTCAGGGCAAAACTGTTTCAGAATATATTAAGTTTATCGGAGATTGGACATTGCACACTGAAGTTATGAGTGGCATTTCATGGCGAATCCGCTGAATTGGACAAGTCGTCACTGGCACAGTCATTTCACGTCACGCAGCTCAAAATCGTCACGCAGCTCAAAATCGCCACGCAGCGCTTACTTCCTGTTGCCAGTGGGTGGCGCTATCACTTTGTCTGAATATTGTCATGTAGACGTGTTCAGGGTGGGAGTGTTATCAAACACGTGAAGTTTCATTGAGATTGGATCATGTACGCTGAAGTTATGAGGACGTGTTCAGGGTGGGACTGTACACTGAAGTTGAGTACTATCTGTTTAGGGTGACTGGTCGAAATTCAACGCAACGCCACGGGCACGCCGTTTGACGGAATGTCGTAAATAGCACAACTTTAAATCATGAATGTCTTTAGATTGCGCTGATTAAATTTGAAGTAGATCCGATAAATTCCCTAGGAGGAGTTCGTTCAAATACAAGGCGAAAAATCACAGAAAATGAGCACAGAATGCAAAATGGCTGACTTTGATGGGAAGCCACGGACACGCCGTTTGACGGAATGTAACGTAAATAGCACAACTTTAAATCAGGACCATTTTTTGAGTGTACTCACAAATTTTGAAGCATATCGGATAAATTCCCTAGGAGGAGTTCGTTCAAACACAACGCGATAAATTCGCAGAAAGTGAAACTTTAAATCAAAATGTCCGACTTCCTGTGGGGTTTCGGGTATAGGTCCAAGAGGCTTTTTTGTACGTCCCGGCATTCTAAACGGGCCTACCAAGTTTCGTACATATCGGTGAAACGTGGCGCCGGGGCTGCTGTTTTTTTATCCTGTAGGGGGGCGCTACACACAGGACAAACACGATTTTTGATATGTGAGCTTCAGGCACTACTCTACACGTGCCCTGTGAATTTCATATTCATAACTATTACGGTGTCCGTACAGTGATTTTTCATGCCAAAAGAGCGCCACCTAGTGGCGTATTTTTTTTGTCCTTTTTATGTGAGCCTCAGGGAGCCAGGGGGAAGCATCGTCCCAAGTTTCATCTTAATCACACATACCGTTGTAGAGATATAAACTTCTTCATTTTAAAGAGCGCCACCTAGTGCTGATGGCCTGAAATTGTGCACGATGCTTAAGGAAGACACCTGGAACTATGCACCCAAGTTTGGTGTCAATCGGACATACCAATGTGGAGAAATGGTCCACTTCCTTTTTTGATGAAAATTCCACAGGAAGTGCTAATTTTATAGCGTGCTTATTGTTTGAAATTTCGAAAATGTTCAAATTGCTTTTTTTGCCAGGGCGGTCCCCAGGTGCTAGGTGAAAAATTTCGTGCGAATCGGACAAAGCGTGTAGGAGGAACACGAAAAAGTAGTTTAACGACATTTCGCACTCTAACGAGAAAAAATTATAGGCGGAAGTGGGCGGGGCCTATATGGAGAGATTCAGCTCCATTCACCGAACGCGTGGATATAAGTTTTTTGAATGTGCGAGCAAATATGCAAAAGTTATTAAGTAACAAAAAAGTGAAAATTCGTTTCTCAACAGTAGCGCCACCTAGTGGCAGACCCGAAAGTGACACATGTAAACTCCGCATTTTCACCAGGCCTGACAACTTTGCCAAATAAAATTGACTTTTCGTATATGTTCAGGGGGGTAAAAATGCAGTCAAAGGGTCCTAAAAATAATAATAATAATAATAATAAGAAACGAACCAAAAACAATAGGGACCTCCAGCGGTCGCTTGCGAGGTCCCTAATTAAAGCTGCAAGCAGCGTTGAGCGGGACCTCGCACTCCACCCAACTCGGGGCGTGCTGCGGCCGCGTCGCGGGCCGTCGTAACACGTGGGGACCACAACATGAAAATGTCACGTAAATCAGTTCAAAATCGCCAAGCAGCGCTTAACTCCTGTTGCCAGAAGGTGGCGCTATCACTATGTCTGAATGTTGTCATGTAGACATGTTCAAGGCGAGAGTGTTATCAAACACGTGAAGTTTCATTGAGATTGGACCACGTACGCTGAAGTTATGAGGACGTGTTCAGGGCAAAACTGTTTCAAAATATATTAAGTTTATCGGAGATTGGACATTGCACACTGAAGTTATGAGTACTATTTTATGGCGAATATGCTGAAATGGACAAGTCGTCACTGGCACGCGGTTTAATGTACAGTCCCAGCTGAACTTTTCTATCAGTTTGTATGACGAAAGAATTCAAAGTGACCAACTTTGACCTCACGCCACAGACACACCGTTCAACGTACATGCACAAATAGCACAACTTTTAATCAGGACCATTTTTTGAGTGTACTCACAAATTTTGAAGCATATCCGATAAATTCCCTAGGAGGAGTTCGTTCAAATACAACGCGAAAAGTTTGCCGAAATCGAAACTTTAAATCAAAATGGCCGACTTCCTGTGGGGTTTCGGGTATGGGTCCAAGAGGCTTTTTTGTACGTCCCGGCATTCTAAACAGGCCTACCAAGTTTCGTACATATCGGTGAAACGTGGCGCCGGGGCTGCTGTTTTTTATCCTGTAGGGGGCGCTGCACACACGACAAACACGATTTTTGGTATGTGAGCTTCAGGCACTACTCTACACGTGCCCTGTGAATTTCATATTCATAACTATTACGGTGTCCGTACAGTGATTTTTCATGCCAAAAAGCGCCACCTAGTGGCGTATTTTTTTTCCTTTTTAAGGGAGCCTCGGGGAGCCATGGGGAAGCATCGTACAAAGTTTCATCTTAATCACACATACCGTTGTAGAGATATAAACGTCTTCATTTTAAAGAGCGCCACCTAGTGCTGATGGCCTGAAATTGTGCACGATGCTTAAGGAAGACACCTGGAACTATGCACCCAAGTTTGGTGTCAATCGGACATACCAATGTGGAGAAATGGTCCACTTCCTTTTTTGATGAAAATTCCACAGGAAGTGCTAATTTTATAGCGTGCTTATTGTTTGAAATTTCGAAAATGTTCAAATTGCTTTTTTTGCCAGGGCGGTCCCCAGGTGCTAGGTGAAAAATTTCGTGGGAATCGGACAAAGCGTGTAGGAGTAACACGAAAAAGTAGTTTAACGACATTTCGCACTCTAACGAAAAAAAATTATAGGCGGAAGTGGGCGGGGCCTATATGGAGAGATTCAGCTCCATTCACCGAACGCGTGGATATAAGTTTTTTGAATGTGCGAGCAAATATGCAAAAGTTATTAAGTAACAAAAAAGTGAAAATTCGTTTCTCAATAGTAGCGCCACCTAGTGGCAGACCCGAAAGTGACACATGTAAACTCCGCATTTTCACCAGGCCTGACAACTTTGCCAAATAAAATTGACTTTTCGTATATGTTCAGGGGGGTAAAAATGCAGTCAAAGGGTCCTAAAAATAATAATAATAATAATAATAATAATAATAATAATAAGAAACGAACCAAAAACAATAGGGACCTCCAGCGGTCGCTTGCGAGGTCCCTAATAATAAGAAACGAACCAAAAACAATAGGGACCTCCAGCGGTCGCTTGCGAGGTCCCTAATAAGAAACGAACCAAAAACAAAAGGGACCTCCAGCGGTCGCTTGCGAGGTCCCTAATTAAAGCTGCAAGCAGGGGCGTGCTGCGGCCGCGTCACGCGCCATCATAACACGTGCGGACCACAACATGAAAATTTCATGTAAATCAGCTGAAAATCGCCATGCATCGCTTACTTCCTGTTGCCAGTAGGTGGCGCGATCACGCGCTCTGAATTTGTCATTTAGACGTGTTCAGGGCGGGACTGTTATCAAACACGTGAAGTTTCATTGAGATTGGACCATGTTATCCCCAGGTGCTAGGAGAAAAAAATTGTGTGAATCGGACATAGGGTGTAGGAGAAACATGAAAAAGTAGTTTAAGGACATTTCACACTCTAACAAAAAGAATTATAGGCGGAAGTGGGCGGGGCCTATATGGGGAGATTCAGCTCCATTCACCGAACGTGTGGATACAAGGTTTTTGAATGTGCGACAAACTATGCAGGAGCTATTAAGTAACCAAAAAGTAAAAATACTTTTCTCAATAGTAGCGCCACCTAGTGGCCGACCCGAAAGCAATATAAAATTTTTCACCAGGCCTGACAACTTTGCCAAATAAAATTGAGTTTTCGTATATGTTCAGGGGGGCAAAAACGCAGTCAAAGGCGCTCGGCCCCTAATAAATTAATTAAAAAACATATACTACTATTAAATTTGCAAATGGAAATTCTTAAACGATCTCACGATTGTGCCTTTCAGATCACACACTTCTAAATTTGTTTATGAAATTATTATTAGGGACTGAGCCAGTGGGAACTGGAAGGTCCCTATTATTTTTGCTCAAATTATTATTATTAGGGACCAAGCCATTATCAACTGGAAGGTGCCTATTGTTTTTGGGATGTTTATTAGGGACCGAGCCAGTATCAACTGGAAGGTCCCTATTGTTTTTGATATGTTTATTATTATTAGGGACCGAGCCAGTGTCAACACAGGGAGGACCCTATTGTAATTGCTCAGTTTATTATTATTATTGTTAGGAACTAGCATGATGATCAGATGTAGCTGAAATTTAGTCGGGAAATGCAAAACATGTTGTAGATGATATTTCATGATTGTGTTCAGTTTTTATCAAAGGTCGTTTCCGTGGCGTGGCGTCACATTTTGATGTACCGCCAGAACACACAAAGTTGCTATAACTTGAGTGTACATTGTCCAATCGTCTCCAAACTTCACTTGTCTGATAAGAGTCTGGCAAAAGGAAGTAAGTGCTGCATGGCGATTTTGATGTTGTGGTCCGCACGTGTTACGACGACAAGTGACGCGGCCGCAGTAGACACCGAGTTGCGTGGAGTGCGAGGGCCCGTTCATCACTGCTTGCAGCTTTAATTAGGGACTGAGCCAGTGTCAAACACAGTGAGGTCCCTATTGTTTTTGCTATGTTTATTAGGGACCAAGCCAGTGTCAAACACAGTGAGGTCCCTATTGTTTTTGGTCCGTTTATTAGGGACCGAGCCAGTGTCAACACTGGGAGGACCCTATATTGTAATTGCTCAGTTTATTAGGGACCGAGCCAGTATCAACTGGAAGGTCCCTATTGTTTTTGGTCCATTTATTATTAGGGACCGAGCACTGACAAGTGCAAGGTCACTATTGTTCCTGTAGAATTATTAGGGACCGAGCACTGACAAGTGCAAGGACCCTATTGTTCCTGTAGGAATTATTATTATCAGGAACCGAGCACTGATAAAAGTGCAAGGACCCTCTTGTTTCACTAGGAATTATTATTAGGGACCGAGCACTGACAAAAGTGCAAGGCCCTATTGTTTCACTAGGAATTATTATTTTTCCGCCTATTACCGCATATTTGGCAACCTTACCATGCTCGAAAAGTCATGGAAAATTGCACAAAATTCAAACATAGCGAAAATATGATATATAAGATATGCAATTGTCCCCGTGCACTGGCTCCTTCAAACGGCTAAGCCACGCCCCCCCAGAATCAGCCCCCAAGACACGTAAAGGCGACAAGTATGAAAATTGGTACGCATGTGTATCATGATAAAAGAAGCAGAAAAGTCTCATGGACCCATACCTCAAACCCAACAGGAAGTCGGCCATTTTGGATTTTGTGGCAACTTTTGGCGATTTGCACACATTGTATTTGAACGAACTCCTCCTAGGGAATTGATTGGATCGACTTCAGATTTGGACACAGCCATCTAAACACATTCACCATTAAAAGTTGTGCTATTTACGTTATTCCAAAGAATGGCGTGCCCGTCCACACATACCAGATAGCTAATAATAAATATACAAGATACAGCTCATGACAACGCGCCCTTCCAATTCAGATTACATAGCTCTAATAAACATCATACAGAAACTGTTCTTAATGTTTTTATCTGGATAGATAAAGGGTAAAAAAAAATACAGTACCTTCTGTTTCAGATGTATAGGCTTTGCCTAGGCTGTGCCTATACATATGAGTATGAGCATTTTCAGAATTTCAGCCCACAACCAACGTTAAGTTCACTGTGCTGAGAGCTTGATTGACTGCCTGCCTTGAACACGCCTGATAAGATGATAAGTAATACTGAGAGCGCCACCTACTGGCAACAGGAAGTATCACGTTTTATACTTTCATGTTCTACTCCTATCAGGATGATCAGATCCAGCTGAAGTTTACTCATAAAATGCAAAACACATTGTTGATGATGTGTGTAATGTGGTGAGGGGGTGTGTCTGTGGCGTGGCGGGAAATTTTGATGTACCGCCATAAAACATGAATTCGCTATAACTTGAGTGTACATTGTCCAATCGGCTCCAAACTTCACTTCTCTGATAAGAGTCCCGCCCAGTGCCACCTACTGGCAACAGGAAGTAAGCGCTGCGTTGCGATTTTGAGCTGATTTATGTGAAATGTTCATGTTGTGGTCCGCACGTGTTACGATGGCACGTGACGTGGCAGCAGCACGCCCCGAGTTGCGCGGAGTGCGAGGTCCCGCCCAACGCTGCTTTCAGCTTTAAGTATTATTAATATTACAAAGGGTGCAACATATTTCCACTTCTTTACCAAAGCTTCCACGTAAAATTAAATGCAATAATATTTTCCACAAGTACTGACCCTTTTTTCAGGTCATTATAACTTTTTTTTGTATCAAATATTTTTTTAATTTTCATTCAAACACAAAACAAATAATGATGTACAGCCACTGAACATACCGTTACATCAATTCCCCCCCACACACATACACTGAATAAAATAAATAAATAAATAAATAAGACTCGAGACACGGCAGCTAAAACAAACAGCAATAACAAAAAGAGAAAAACAAAAACAAAAAAGGGACTTGTGGAACAGTTAATATAGACCTACTGAGTGATTCAAGATGCCAAGTGAAGTAGATCAGATACACAACGGACCACAAGGATCAGAGTGAGCCCTTCAACGCTTCAGCCGTAGTGAGCCACATATTCACATTCACCTCCTTGGCCTCATTTATACAGGCTGTCGACAGCGCCATACACGTAACATCAAGAAAAGTTAAAACCCATTGTCTGATGGTCAAAGTGTGAGGGGGCTTCCAGTGTACTGCGATAATTTTCTTAGCAGCTGTTAAACCTGCCAACATTATACGTTTCTGACATTCAGGGACTTCTTACAGCAGATGTCTATCTGACAGTGCTGTAGCTAAATTTAAGGAGGAGATTCCTTCAGTGTTTAATTCAATGCCATGTCTGAATTTAACAGAATCCTATAACAACTTTAGTCCCTCTGAAATTGATAATCTTGTTGATAGTGCTGCAGGCTCACTACGAAGAACATTAGACTCTGCTATCGATCTTCATCAGTTAACTTCAATCATTTCTTCATCGAAGGCATCAACCTGTCTATTAGACCCGATCCCAACTAGGCTGCTTAAAGAAGTTGTTCCCTTAATTGGCACTTCTTTGCTGAATATGATTAATCTTTCTTTATTATCAGGATATGTACCACAGTCCTTTAAAGTAGCTGTAATTAAACCCCTTCTTAAAAAGCCCACTCTTGACCCAGGGGTTTTAGCTAACTATAGACCAATCTCTAACCTCCCCTTCCTCTCTAAGATTCTGGAGAAGGTAGTCGCCAAAGAGTTGTGTGACTTTCTACATAACAATAGTTTAAAGTAAAGTAAGTAAAGTAGTAAAATTTAGAATAGAATTTAAAATCCTCCTCCTCACCTATAAAGCTCTTCATGGTCAGGCCCCTTCATATCTCAAAGAGCTCATAGTACCCTATTACCCCTCTAGAACACTACGTTCTCTGAATGCTGGGCTACTTGTGGTTCCTATAGTCTCTAAAAGTAGAACAGGAGCCAGAGCCTTCAGTTACCAAGCTCCTCTCCTATGGAACCAGCTTCCAGTTGTGGTTCGGGAGGCAGACACCCTCAACACATTCAAGAGTAGGCTTAAGACGTTCTTCTTTGATAAAGCTTATAGTTAGGGCTGGATCAGGTGAGTCCTGAACCATCCCTTAGTTATGCTGCTATAGGCCTAGACTATCGGGGGATTTCCCATGGTGCACTGAGCTCCTCTCTTCCTCTCTCTTACTGCACTCTTTCATGTCCCATTAATTCATGTTACTAACTTCACTTCTTCCCCGGAGTTCTTGTGCTTTCTCGTCTCGCAGGTTCTTATCGATCCTAGTGGAGCCTCCTGCCATGGTGCTGCTTGACTGCCACTGCCAATACTGTTGTTGCTGTGCACCTGTCTCTCTGTCTCTCTCTCTGTCTCTCTCTCCGTCTCTCTCTCCCTCTCTCTCCCTCTCTCTCCCTCACCCCAACTGGTCGAGACAGACGACCACCCACCTAGAGCCGAAAGATCTGTCCTAGGTTTCTCCCTTTTAACAGGCAGTTTTTCCTTGCCCCTGTCGCCAAGTGCTTGCTCATGGTGGTACTGTTGGGTCTCTGTAAATATTGTTATAAAGAGTTTGGTCTAGACCTGCTCTATTTGAAAAGTGTCCTGAGATTACTTCTGTTATGAATTGGCACTGTACAAATAAAATTTAATTGAATTGAGTTAAAGCACACGGTGTACCTTGGCAGCACCCGCTGCCTACACATCTACTTCATGAGTTGATTGTTACTAAAAGAGCTGCGAGGGGAATGGTATCCACTGTATACTTATACTTGCTTGAGGCCACCTACAAAACGCTCCCAGTAGACAGGTTATGGAGGGGTGATGTCCCCGGACTGGATCAGGATTTTGATTGGGACAAGGTGTTGGTCAATATCAAAATCGCCTCTCGAAACCATGACCACCGGCAGATCCATTATAATTTCATACACAGGACCTACCGGACCCCTCGTTAGCTACATTTTATTTAAGTTATCAATGATCCCTCATGCACCCTTTGTACATTAAAAACCACTGGCACTTTCCTCCACATGGTGGGGGAGTGCCCCCCCATTGCTCAATTTTGGCAGGGTGTGGCCGCTGAGCTGACGGCACTCATATCGGAGACAGTGCCTGTGACCATACCAGTGTTATTATTAAATGATCTTTCGGCACTTCAATTTTATTTGTATAGCGCCAATTCATAACAGAAGTTATCTCAGGACACTTTTCAAATAGAGTAGATCTAGACCGAACTCTTTAAAACATTATTTACAGAGACCCAACAGTACCACCATGAGCAAGCACTTGGCGACAAGGGCAAGGAAAAACTGCCTGTTAAAAGGCAGAAACCTAGGACAGATCCTTCGGCTCTAGGTGGGTGGTCGTCTGCCTCGACCAGTTGGGGTGAGAGAGAGAGAGAGAGAGAGAGAGAGAGAGAGAGAGAGACATACGGGTGCACAGCAACAGTATTGGCAATGGCAATCTAGCAGGACCATGGCAGGAAGCTCCACCAGGATCGATAAGAACCTGCAAGACAAGAAAGCACAAGAACTCCGGGGAAGAAGTGAAGTTAGTAACATGCATTAATGGGACATGAATGAGTGCAGAAAGAGAGAGGAAGAGAGGAGCTCAGTGCACCATGGGAAATCCACCGATAGTCTAGGCCTATAGCAGCATAACTAAGGGATGGTTCAGGACTCACCTGATCCAGCCCTAACTATAAGCTTTATCAAAGAAGAATGTCTTAAGCCTACTCTTAAATGTGGTGAGGGTGTCTGCCTCCCGAACCACAACTGGAAGCTGGTTCCACAGGAGAGGAGCTTGGTAACTGAAGGCTCTGGCTCCTGTTCTACTTTTAGAGACTATAGGAACCACAAGTAGCCCAGCATTCAGAGAACGTAGTGTTCTAGAGGGGTAATAGGGTACTGTGAGCTCTTTAAGATATGAAGGGGCCTGACCATGAGGAGCTTTAAAGGTGAGGAGGAGGATTTTAAATTCTATTCTACATTTTACAGGGAGCCATTGCAGAGAAGCTAGTACAGGAGAGATGTGATCTCTTTTTCTAGTTCCTGTCAGTACTCGTGCTGCAGCGTTCTGAATTAATTGGAGCGTTTTAATGGACTTATTGGGGCAACCTGATAATAAAGAGTTGCAGTAATCCAGCCTTGAAGTAACAAATGCATGGATTACTTTTTCTGCATCTGTCTGTGATAGGATGTGTCTAATTTTTGTAATATTACGTAAATGAAAGAAGGCAGTCCTAGAGGTCTGCTTCATGTGGGAGTTAAAAGACAAATCCTGATCAAAGATAACTCCAAGATTCCTGACAGTGTTGCTAGAGGCCAATGTAATGCCATCTAGAGTAACTATATCTTTAGACAGTGAGTCTCTAAGGTTTTTGGGGCCAAGAACAAGAAGTTCGTTTTTTAACATCAGAAAAATTGCAGCTCATCCAGGATTTTATGTCCGTAAGACATGTTTGTAATTTAGATAATTGATTAATTTCATTGGGTTTGATCGATAGATATAACTGCGTATCATCTGCATAACAGTGAAAGTTAATGGAGTGATTCCTTATAATGTTGCCTAAGGGGAGCATATATAAAGTAAATAGTATTGGTCCAAGTACAGAACCTTGTGGAACTCCATGACTAACTGTAGTATTTATTGAAGATTCATCGTTAACATGTACAAACTGCGAACGATCTGATAAATATGACTTGAGCCAGCTTAGTGTGGTTCCTTTAATGCCAATTTGATGCTCAAGTCTCTGTAAAAGAATATTATGGTCAATGGTGTCAAATGCAGCACTAAGATCTAATAATACAAGTACAGAGACAAGTCCATTGTCAGAAGCAATCAGAAGATCATTATTAACTTTAACCAGAGCTGTCTCTGTGCTATGATGGACTCTAAATCCTGACTGAAGATCCTCAAATAAACTATTGTTTTGTAAAAAGTCACACAACTGTTTCCAAGCCGAAAATATCACCCAAAAACTGTATCCCTCCCTTTTCCCACTGAGAGTAGGTGACAGGTCTCCCCCCGATCAGTAAACCTTTATCATTAAAAATTTGAGATTGCAGGTGCCATCTGCAAGATATATCACAAATCCTTTCCACTGAGCGCCAAACCTGGATCAGATGGGTCACAGTGGGGCCATAATGTAATTGACTCTGACTTACAGAGATATTTGCAAATAAAACGTCTGCCAAAGACCACGGGTGCACCATTCTTTCTTCCATTTTACGCCAAGAAACTGCCATCTGGGAGTCAAACCATGTGACAAGGGGTCTAAGAGTGAAGGACCAGTGGTAAAGTTTAAAGTTGGGCACCGCTAGTCCCCCATCTAATCTCCTGCGCTGCACAGTGGAAGAGATGATCTAGATACTGGGAACAGAGTGGAACAAATGTTACCTGTAAGAACCATTGCAGAGTGGTTTGAATATAACAACTGTATCATTTTTATAAAGCCTTCTCCAAAACCCATCGCCTCCAAAACCGACCACAAAAAAGACCACTCAAGGCGGTCGAACACTCCATCATGTCCAGGGATAAAAACAGCTGCTGGGGTTTTGATGTCTGTTGCTGCTTCAATTACATGGAGCAGCCAGACACGATTTCACAAAGCCGGTCTGGTCACAGTGAACTAGTGATGATACATGAGGTTGTAGGTGGCGGGAGATTGCCTTGGCATATATTTTAACATTGGTGTTCAACAGACTAAGGGGCCTATAATTACCAAATTCTGTTGGGGTTTTATCTTTCTTCAGTAGTAAGGTTATTATAACTATATTGACATCCCTAGAGAAAGCACCTTTCTCTATTGAAAAGTGGATCATACTGAGAAGCAACGGGCCAAGGAGGTCCCAAAAGGCTGCGTAAAATTCTGGTGGTATGCCGTCAAACCCGGGTGATTTTACCCTTTGCATACTGAGCACAGCCTTTTTAAGTTCTTCAAGAGAAATCGGTTTTGCTAAATCATTCGCCTCCTCCACTGCAAGGCGAGGTAACTTCAATCGAGCCAAAAACTTGTCAAATTTGTCTTTGTCGAGAAGTTATGTTTGATTTCTACAGGTCAGAGTAAAACTACGAAAAGTGTTGTTGATCTGCGTCGGGTCAGGGGTGACAGATCCTGACTGTAATTTTACTTAAGAGATATCTGAGAACTGCTCATTTGACCTAATCTTCATCGCCAACAGGTGGCTGGGCCTTGACCCATGCAAATAATACAGTCGCCTGGTCCTGTGGATTAAAAACTCTGACTAGCGTCTGAGGATGATGTTAATATCTTTTTTGACCGGCCAGGGGAAGCGCTGTTGAGCATCGCTGGGCAAAACACACCTTTATGTTCGGAGAGGGCTATGGGAAGCAGAGATACATTGTGAATATTTTGAAAGAGTTTAGGGGATGCAAATATGTAGTCGATTCTTGAACAAGATTTGTGTCGAGCAGAGAAAAAGGAGTAGTCACTGATGATGGATTCATCGATCATCACAAATCTGTGAAACCCAGGCTGTTAGCCCAAGCCTGTAAAGCTGTGGACGCCAGTTTCTGATCCCTTGTCTCAAATTTGCCTGTCCTGTCATTAGCTGCCCTCCAAACCTTGTTAAAGTCTCCCCCCACAATGAACGAATACCACTCAGCTCCAGCATACTATTTGTCAAATTGTCGTAAAAAATTCTATCAAAACAGTTTGGTGCATAGACCGATGTGAAGGCTATTTCCCTGTTACTAATTTCTGTCTCAACAATTGTCAGCCTGCCCTCTTTATCAGACCACATGTCTTGGATTTTAATTCTAAAGCTACGTCTGGCTATGATAGCCACACCCTTGGTCTTTGTACCAGATGTGGAGGAAGCTATAACACAGTAAGATACCCAGACCTGAGACTAAACAGTCACTTTAATATAAAAAAAAAAGGCAGTAAAGTGTTATGTGCATGTTACCTTGTTTCAGCATTCATTATAACGCCCACAACTCGAGCAGGCGCTTAAAGTCAGAAACAATAATTCGGTGTGGAAGAGAAAGAAAATTCTTAATCATTCCACGGACTAATTTACTCCAGGAAGATTATGAGTTGATGAGTCTTCCATCCATTAGCGGCGGTTTTGTATCAGGGCGACGATCAGGGGCTGTTATGGGTCCTCAGGCCGCCTGTGAGGTGTTGGCCCGGGTGTGCCGGCTGACCGCTTCACTAGCCAGAGCCCGCGGTCGGGAGTTGAGGAAATCCTCAGCTTCTCTGGGGTTGTTGAAAACACGATAATCCGACCCATCTTTGATTTTCAGGGTCGCCGGGTAAAGGAGAAAAAATTCAACTCCTCTTTCTTGCGCGGTGTCCATCGCCTGGGTGAAAGCCTGTGGGCGCTTGACTGTGTGGTTAATATAATCAGCGGCAAATCTCACTCTCTTGCCGTCAACGGTGACCGGGTCCTTCTTCGCAGCTTGGAGAATAGCCTGCCGCGTCGTGTAGCAGAGGATGTTGAAGATGAGAGTGCGGGGCCTGTCTCGGGCAGGGCGTCCATTGTAGATCCGGTGGGCCCTCATTATCTCTGGCTGCCCAGTCTAGAGAGACGGGAACCACTCCGACAGTGCCCGGTTTGGATATTGCACGCTGTTCGACCTCTCGACCCCCTCTTTCAAGCCGATGATACGAACGTTGCAGAGTCTATTCCTGTCCTCTATGTGCGCCAGTTTGAGTTCAAGTGTATGCAGCACCGTCTCGTGGTTAGTAACTGCCATCAAGTTTTCTTTGACAGTGCTCTTCAGAGCCGAAATATCTGCTTTCACCACACCAATACTCACGAGAGCGAGGCCAGATCAGACTGAATCACGTTCAATTTATCCTCTGTGCCTTTACCCATTTCGTGAAGTTGAGCGAACCAAGGATCTAGATATTCATGTTGTCTCTCCATTAGCGTGTCTGCAATAGCATCCAGTTCAGTAGCACGAGTTCCTTTGTTCGACTTCGTGGAGGCTCCACCTGCACTGTTCTTTTTCCCAGATTCAGTCATTTTTGTCCCAAGCAATTAAAAGAGCCACAAATATCAGCATAAAAATAGACTTGAAGGGATAAACTAATTAAAAACAAGGAGGTAAGGGGAAGCGCAAAAAGCCTAAGCCACCATCTTGTCTAGCCGGTCACGTGACTCTTCAGGTCATTATAACTTAATCCTTTTTTAAACACACTACAAGTTACTTTCAGGTTGTTTGATGGACTGTTTTAGTTTAAACTCAGCTTATCAATTAAGAATGGTTTATTGAGAGTTTAATTGTTGGAACTTGTTAGGTAGCGATGTTAAGGAGTTAAATATTAAGACTTGACAAACCTGAAACACAATATGGATATTGGAAGAATTTGCAATGGAAGGAGATGGGACTTTTTTTAGGATGCAGTCTCCTGAATGGTTGTCTTTAGTTAAAACATGGGATATTAAAAAAGCCTTTCTTACCGGCCACCTCAGGAACAAAGACACAGCGGTTACTGTTGGGGTCCAACACCATAGGATGAGTACATAAACACATGAATGAACCATCTGTGTTCCGACACTGTCCACCAACACACACAGACTCATCCAGACACTCATTGATGTCTACGGGAAACAAAGCAAACAGAGACATTTAATGGAAAAATAACTTAGTCAGAGGACTCTCTTCATGTCATCAGCACTTCCTCACGCTAAATTACCATGCCAATGCATTCACACACACAAATGAACTATTTAACTATAAATAACTCTTAAGCTGAAAACCCTTTTTTACCAACCAATGCAACTCCCCATTGCTCACGAATGATAGCTCCTACAAAACAGTTTTACATTGCTGAAAAGCTCATTAGCACATCATATAATATAAGAGTTAAAGATCCCCTCCAGACGTGTTATGTATGTAGCGGAGTCTCACACTAAAAATACAGAGCTGTAAATAGGCATAATAAGTCCCCTTTTACTTTTAACTTTTTAAATTAGAGTTTGCGTACATTCACAAACAGTTTCTATGTCTTCATTGATATTGATAATTTTAATGATTTGAGACATCACAAATAGTTTGGGAGTCAATTCTGGTGACTGTGATGTAGAAACTTGAAGCCACCAGTAGACATACACTGAGAATTGACTTGTGTCCAGATGTCCAAATTAACAGAATTTGCATATTCGTAGATTTTGGAATTTTTAATTAGGTTGAAGGAAGTCTTTTAATTTAGATGATTCTATCTGAAGAAATATTTATAACCTTTTCACAAACCATTGTGTAGAGTCTTCTTCAAACATACAGCCATGCACTACGAAAAATATTCTAGAAAATTCAAGGAGCTGCCATTGAGACATTTTGAGGTTGCAGCCTGATTCCTGTTTTTGACAGCTTTACAGCAGAATTACACTGTAATTCAGATAAATGTTAAATGTGCATTCCTCTTTGGTCATCAGCCCACCCTGTAGTTGGTCTCCTATAGTAGCAACTGTGCTCCATACTCTGCCCTGTCTAACTCCTGTGTTGTTGAGTATTCATACACAAAGGGGCGGCTGTGGCTCAGAGGCAGAGCGGGTTGTTCCTTAATCGGAAGGTTGTGGGTTCGATCCCCGGCTCCTTGAGCAAGATACTGAACCCCAAATTGCGTGTGTGAATGTGGATGAATGTTAGTTTCTGTTCGATGGACTTTGCTATCACTGTGTGAATGTGTGTGAAAGGGTGACTGTGGCACGTAGTGTAAAAGCGCTTTGAGTGGTCGGAAGACTAGAAAGGTGCTATACAAGTACAGGTCCATTTACCATTTACCATTTACCAAAGCAAGTTAAGCTGACAGTTTATGTGTTATGTGTAAATGGTCTGACATCTTTAACACAGGAGCAGGGTTCCCTTCATCAGTGTACATAGACAGTACTCCCTGCTATCAGTTCTGGCAATGTCAGTTAAGGGGACTTCTCTTTGTAAAATTCCTCCATTCGGAACACCCTGTACCATTACGAACGCACACATCAGCCAAGCCTGGTAACAAACACCTTGTTGCTGCTACTGTGACAATTTTACATGAATTAAATAATAATATTATTATATACTTAAAAACTGATAGCATTACAAAATGTATTTTATTGAAATATATGTAACTTTTGAATAAATGTGATTTGATTAATTTAATTTGATTAATTAGTTTAATTTCTAGAGATAAAACATTTAAATATTTAAAAATTATTATGTAGGCTATTGTATATATATTTATATTTAATCGGCCTTGATAATTATGACTGGTAACGCCTATTGTTTGTTTTTGGGAGTCCAGCGAGGTGTAATGATGGGTAATCTTGCTGAGTCAACTGAATAAAGTTATTCAGTTCCTCCCTACGCAACTCCCAGCTACTTTGAACTGAGCACTGTTTGCTCCCTATGGTTTGGAATCTTACTTAACATTGTTGAATAGCCTGTGCAGTCCACCACTAATTTGTTTTTCATACACACACTCACACACAGCCTTTGTTTTTGCTTCGTATCACTCTGACCTCTGCACTCCAGTTTGGTAGGGTCGTAGTCTTGTCCAGTCTTGCAGTAACACTCATAGCTGCCCACAGTGTCTAAACAGAAGCCTCCTTTACACACCTCCTGGCCAAACAGCGTGCATTCATCTGCATCTGAAGACAGACAGAGAGTAGGCAGCAAATGTTACATGTTCACAGAGCTAATGGCCAGCTTTGTGCTACAATGGAGAGACAGAAGGAACTGTACTGTTAGGGCATAGGCACATGGAATAGATTTAACATGAAAATATTTAGGTATGTTGCATTCATTCATTCATGTAGCATTAGCATATACAGTTAGGTCCACATATATTTGGACACTGACACAAGTTCTGTTATTTTAGCTGTTTACCCAAACATATTCAAAATACAGTTGTATAATCAATATGGGCTTAAAGTGCAGACTCTCAGCTTTAATTTGAGGGTATTTTCAATTCAATTCAATTCAATTTTATTTGTATAGTGCCAATTCATAACAGAAGTTATCTCAGGACACTTTTAAAATAGAGCAGGTCTCGACCGAACCACCACGAGCAAGCACTTGGCAACTGGGGGCAAGGAAAAACTTCCTGTTAAGAGGAAGAAACCTAGGACAGACCCTTCGGCTCTAGGTGGGTGGTCGTCTGCCTCAACCAGTTGGGGTGAGAGAGAGAGAGAGAGAGGTGCACAGTGTCTGATGATCTGGTATTTACATCCAGATTGGAGGAAGGGTTTAGGAATTACAGCTCTTTAATATGTAACCGCTTCTTTTTCAAGGGACCAAAGGTAATTGGCCAATTAACTCAAAAGCTATTTCATGGGCTGCATGGGCTGGTCCCACGTTAACCCATCATCAATTAAGCAGGTAAAAGGTCTGGAGTTGATTCCAGGTGTGGCATTTGCATTTGGAAGTTGTTGCTGTGAACCCACAACATGCGGTTGAAGGAGCTCTCAATGGAAGTGAAACAGACCATCCTTAGGCTGCAAAAAAAGGAGAGATCCATCAGAGAGATAGCGGAAATGTAAGGAGTGGCCAAATCAACAGTTTGGTACATCCTGAGAAAAAAAGAGCGCACTGGTGAGCTCAGAAACTCAAAAAGGCCTGGACGTCCACAGTAAACAACAGTGGTGGATGATCGCAGGATCCTTTCTATGGTGAAGAAAAACCCCTTCACAACATCCACCCAAGTGAAGAACACTCTCCAGGAAGTAGGTGTATCAGTATCTAAGTCTACGATAAAGAGAAGATTTCATGAGAGCAAATACAGAGGGTTCACCACAAAGTGCAAACCATTTCAAAAATCAAAAATAGAAAGGCCAAATTAGACTTTGCCAAAAAACATCTAAAGGAGCCAGCCCAGTTCTAGAACAGCGTTCTTAGGACAGATCAACCTGTACTAGAATGATGGGAAGAAGAAAGTATGGAGAAGGCTTGGAACGGCTCATGATCCAAAGCACACCACATCTTCTGTAAAACATGGTGGAGGCAGTGTGAGGGCATAGGCATGCATGGTTTCCAACAGCACTGGGTCACTAGTGTTTATTGATGATGTGACAGGAGACAGTAGCAGCCGGATGAATTCTGATGGGATATTCTTTCTGCTCAGATTCAGCCAAATGCAGCAAAATTGACTGGATGGCGCTTCACAGTACAGATGGACAATGACCCAAAACATACTGCAAAAGCAACCCAGAAGTTTTTTAAGGCAAAGAAGTGGAATATTGTGCAATGGCCGAGTCAATCACCAGATCTCAACCCAATCGAGCATGCATTTAATTTGCTTAACATAAAACTTAAAGCAGAAAGACCCACAAACAAGCAAGCAACAACTAAAGACAGCTGCAATAGAGGCCTGGCACAGCATCACAAAGGAGGAAACCCAGCGTTTGGTGATATCCATGGGTTCCAGACTTCAGGCAGTCACTGCCTGCAAAGGATTCTCAGCAAAGTATTAAAAATGAAAATTGTATTTATGGTAATGTTAATTTGTCCAATTATTTTTGAGCCCTTGAAATGAGTAGACTTTGTTTAAAAATGGTTGCAATTTCTAAACGTTTGATAGGATATTTTTGTTCAATCCCTTGAATTAAACCTGAAAGTCTGCACTTCAATTGCATCACAGTTGTTTAATTTCAAATCCAGTGTGGTGGCATGCAGAGCCCAAATCATGGAAATGGTGTCACTGTCCAAATATTTCTGGGCCTAACTGTAAATACGTCATTATCATCATTATCATATAATTCTCTCTGCATTGGAAATGTTTATTGTTCCATCATAGGGATTCTTGAGGACAAAGTGTATAGAAGTCACACTTCTATGTAAGGGAGAATTATAAGCATCATGCATTGCTACATCTAAAATAAAAATGTGTTTTATAAAACACTACAGATTCAGCTATGTGATTTGTGTATGGTGTTAGGTTATGTGTAGAGGTAGCTTACCTTTGTAGCTGCTAGCTGTGGGCACTCCATATAGCAAGTCTCCATTGGGAATAAAACCTCTTCCAGATGGACACATCTGATTGAAGTGGTCTGAAAGGGGACAGACATGGATGTTGAAGGTTAAATGTCCACCTAGTGCACTGAGGTGTAAGGACTCTTTATTAGGTATACTTCACTGTATGGACCAACAAAGAGGTTCAGTTTCTGCTCAGCTGTTAAGATGGGTAAGACCCTGATGTAAACCATTCTTTATCAAAAAAAAGAGGAAAAAAAAGAATAATCTTAAATCAGTCAAAATGTTTCACTGACTGAAATTCAGGTAAGAATAGAGGGACGAATAATGTGCAGGTGTGATATGCTCAGATTTCCATGATTCCTAGATTCTGAGTCATGCATTTTGTACCAGCTGAAGCCAATAAAGGACTGTGATTTAAGATTATTTTCATTATCCATAATTTTCTCCATTTATCTATTAGTTTGTGGTGTATTTTAGGAGGAACAAGCCCCTGCCCTCTCCTGTCAACATCGGCGGGTTAGATGGGGATATGGTGTCAGCATGTAAGTACTTGGGTGTCACGCTTAGGGAGGGGAATCGAGAACCGGTTCTTCTTCAGAACCGGTGCCCAGTGAATCGATTCCTTGGAACCGTCAGCGTGCCTGCTTAACGATTCCGCTTATGGGTTCCACTCGTTGCAAATGCGTCATGACGTCACACACGTGCTGCATTGTTTTGGTTCAGAATGCAGCAAACATGGCGTCGAGGCAGAACCGCTCTAAAGTTTGGTTATATTTCACGCGAAAAGACGACAATACGGTCACTTACAACACTTGTAAAGTTTCCATTTCGTCAAAGGGGGAACTACCTCCAATATGCAGAAACATTTGGCCACACAGCATGCAATTAATTTGCAGGACTGTTGCGTGTTTGATACACTACTACCTAGCGACACAATTGAGTCAAGCCGCAGCGGAGCTAACGGGACGCCATCTGTGACCAATGCCGAAGGTAACTTTAAATGACATGATCATTTTTCTGCAAACAAATTATTTGGCTAAAAATGTGTGTCAAAATAAGTAATTTCATTGGTTACATTTTCTTGTCTTGACCTATCAACACATGGCTAATTTTAATATTCAAATGAGCCATGTGTTGATTGCTACAACAGGCACTCAAGCAGTTGCTACCACCAGGCTGTCAATCAAGCTCTCAGTGACAGAACGCAATGTTAGCCTTTACCTATCCAGATAAAAACATTAAGAACAGTTAATCTGAATTGGAAGGGCACGTTGTCATGAGCTGTATCCTGTATAATTATTATTAGCTATGTGGTATGTGTATGCACCTAGGCCTGTCACGATATGCAATAAATCAATTAATCGCATGATAAATAAAATGAGCTTGATCATTTTTTCAGCCGCGATAATTTCCATTTGCATGCTTGTTTGTTTTCGTCGTCTCTCTCTCTACCAAAGAGACTGGATGAGCACTCCGGTGCAAAGGTGACCCCTCTTGGTTCCTTAGCGTAACGAGGAGTGAACCCTGGCCTCTGTGTGGGGAGACGGGACTCCTGGTGTAGCCTACCACAGAGTACAGCAAAAGAGCTGCATGAGGAGTATAACGAGAGAAAATGCTAGTTGAGAGTTGGAGGAAAAGATGGATTTAGTGTCAAAGCCAAACACTACAGCTGCAGTGTGGGAGCACTTCGGATTTAGACCGAATGACAGAGGTGAACCACTAAACTAAAAGTTGGTATGTCGCATTTGTGAAAAAAAAGTATGTATTAAAAGCGGTAACACGACAAACATGCATATGCACCTCAAACACAACCATCCGATGCAGTTTTCCCAGCTGGGAAAAAAACACTACCACAGGTGGGCTGTCTCCGTCTTCCCGACAGTACACAATCACTGGGGCGTTTAGTCGACAAACCAAGTACAAACAGGACAGTGCAAAATGGTGTTCACTCACAGACAGTGTAGTTCGCTTCATTGCTAAAGAGATGCTGCCCTTCAGTATCGTCGAAAAGCCGGCATTTCGGCAAATGATGCAAACATTTGACAACCAGTACGAATTGCCTGGGAGAACACACGTGTCACAAACGGCAATTCCACAACTGTACAACAGCGTGAATATTTTGTTAACAGAGACTGAGAGTCCATTTTATTTATTTTGTTCATTCCTTGTGGATATTTAAAATGTCTTCCAGTTCCAGTGTTACATATTGTTTAGAAATAAAAGTTTATTGATCTTTGAAAAGGTGTACCTGCATTATTATGCCATTATCATTATATTAGATGAAAATGGTCTCGGAACGACAATATTATCGTTTATTGCGATAACTTCTGGGACAATTTATCGTCCAGCAAAATTTGTTATCGTGACAGGCCTATATGCACCTTCATGTAATCTGGTGGAAAAACATAAAAATTTAAAACCAGATCATACCAAACAAATATCTGTGTATACAAAGTGTGCCCCTTTTTGATGTGAAAGAAATGGCCACCCTATTTCAGTCTGTGTTTTTAGTTTTTATGGCACATAATGGCAGTTGGGCTTAAAAACCCAAACATTTATTTTTTTGTCTGGACCAATTAATGTGAAAACTAACAATTTCCTAATCCTAAGGCACTCTTGATAATCTTTCAAGGCACACACTAGCGTGCCATGGCATACTGGTTGAGAAACACTGCCCTAAGCTATGGGTCCCTGGACTTTACTTTTAGGTTTGTTCTGAGGTTGCTACACATAATTTGTGTATACTCTGTGCTGTGTCTTCTGATCAGATATTAAAGCGAGTTAATACAAACAAATTTGTACTTATTCCCTCACCCAGTGAGAATCGATAAGAGAATTGATAAGGAATCGGATCGATAAGCAATATCGATAATGGAATCGGAATCGTTAAATTCTTATCAATTCCCATCCCTAGTCACACTGGACAATAAACTGGATGGGTCCAATAACTCAGAGGCCATCTACAAGAAGGGCCTGAGCCGGCTTTACTTCCTGAGGATGCTCAGATCCTTCAATGTCTGCAACAGGATGTTGCAGATGTTTTATCAGTCTGTTGTGTCGAGCACCATCTTCTTTGCTGCGGTGTCCTGGGATGCGGGCATCAAGGCAAAGGACGCCAACAGACTAAACAAACTTATTAAGAAGGCCAAGTCTGTTGTTGGCTCTAAGCTTGTCACCCTGGAGGAGGTGGTGGAGGAGAGGATGCTGGCAAAACTGCTGGCAATCATGGACAATTCCTCTCACCCCCTCCACACAACACTGGACAAGCTAAAGAGCAGCTTCAGCAACAGACTTATTCAACCCTGCTGCAAGAAGGAACAATACAGAAAATCGTTTCTCCCCACCGCAATAAGACTCTGTAACTCATCTGCCTCTGTCAGATCCACAATCACAGAACTGGACTAAATCTACCTGTGGAACATATACTTCATATCATATGTGATATGTGTTAACATAAACCATGTTGATATCATATATCATATTTATTTATACAATATATTATTAGGGACCGAGCCAGTGGGAACTGGAAGGTCCCTATTGTTTTTGCTCAAATTATTAGGGACCGAGCCAGTGTCAACTGGAAGGTCCCTATTGTTTTTTTCGAATGTTTATTATTAGGGACTGAGCCAGTGTCAAACACTGTGAGGTCTCTATTGTATTTGCTAAAGTTATTATTATATGTGGGAAATGTTCAATGCATTTTTGACCCCCTGAACATATACTTCTGATGTATTTTATTTGGCAAAGTGGTCAGGCCTGGTAAAAAATTGGATATTCTATGCTTGACATTCGGCTCGGCCACTAGGTGGCGCTACTATTAAGAAAAGTAGGTTTAGGCTAATAACTCCTGCATCGTTTGTCTCACATTCAAAAACCTTATATCCACCCGTTCGGTGAATGGAGCTGCATCTCCCTATATAGGCCACGCCCACTTCCACCTAGATTTTTTTTCCGGTAGAGTGCGAAATGTCCAAAAACTATGTTTGCGTTTGCGTGAATTCTGTGGTCATTTTCTGTGAATTTATGCCTTGTATTTGAACGAACGCCTCATAGGGAACTTATCAGATCTGCTTCAAAATTGGACAGTACAATCAAAAAACTTTACTGATTAAAACTTGTGCAATTTGCGACTGTATGTTGAAGGGCGTGTCTGTGGCATGCGGTCAAAGTTGGCCAGCTTGAATCGAATGTCAAGCTGTGATGCCATTTCCGGCATTTCAGGGCTTCAATTTTAACTAGTCTAATAACTCCCGCATAGTTTGTCGCACCTTCAAAGACCTTAAAACCACGCATTCGGTAAATTGAGCTGCATCTCCCTATATAGGCCACGCCCACTTCCGTGTTCCATCTATACGTTTTTTTATCCGATTTGCATGACATTTTTTGCGTAGCATTTGTAGACCGTCCTGGCAAAAAAAGTAATTTAAAGTATTTTGATATTTCAACAAATAAGCACGTAAAATTAGCACTTCCTGTAGATTTTTCGTGGGGAAGGGGACCATTGGTATGTCCAGTGGACACCAACTTTGGGTCCATAGTTCCCCTTGTCTTCATTAGGCATCGTCCACACTTTCAGGCCATCACCACAAGGTGGCGCTCTTTAAAATGAAGAAGTTTATATCTCAACATCGGCACGTGTGATTAATATGGAACTTGGTATGATGATTGCCCATGGCTCCCTGAAGCTCATTTAAAAAGGAGAGAAAAACCATGCCACTGGGTGGTGCTTTGGTGGCAGGGTAAATCACTCTGCGCAGACGGTAATAGTTATGAATATGGAATTCACAGAACACGTGTAGACTGGTCAGTATGTTGAAGGGCGTGCCAAAGTTGGCCATTTTGAATTCCGTGGTCTTGTATTTGAACGAACGAACTCCAAGGGAATTTATCGGATCTGCTTCAAAACTGGACAGTACACTTGAAAAATGTTGCTGATTAAAAGTTGTGAGATTTGTGACTGTACGTTGAAGGGCGTGTCAGTGGCGTGCTGTCAAACTTTGATGTACCGCCAGAAGACACAAATTTACTATAACTTGAGTGTAACAAACTGTAGATAAATAGTTGTGCTATTTGTGACTGTGTGTCAATCGGCATGCCCATGGCGTGGCGTCAAATTTCAACTACTGACTTTCAACGAAAAAAGAAGTTGTCATAACTTCAGCGTACATGATCAATCTCAATGAAACTTCAATTGATCTGATTTGCGTGAAATTTTCATGCTGTGGTCTGCACGTGTTACGATATCACGTGTTACGACGGCACGTGTTACAACAGCACTTGACGCGCCCAATGCTGCTTGCAGCTTTAATTATTATTAGGGACCGAGCCAGCGACCGCTGGAGGTCCCTATTGTATTTGCTATGTTTCTTCTTCTTCTTACCTATCATTATTTTTAGCCCCCTTTGACTGCAATTTTGCCCCCCTGAACATATACGAAAACTAAATTTTATTTAGCAAAGTTGTCAGGCCTGGTGAAATGGGGATATGCGTTTAGGCTAATAACTTCTACATTGTTTGTCGCACATTCAAAAACCTTGTATCCACGCGTTCGGTGAATAGAGCTGAATCTCCCCATATAGCCATGCCCACTTCTGCCTATAATTTTTCTCCGCTACAGCGCGAAATGTCCATAAACTAATTTTCCGTGTTCCTCCCATGCGCCTTGTCCGATTCACACAAAACATTTCAAGTAGCATCTGGGGACCGTCTTAATAAAAAACTTATTCAAAGAATTTTGATATTTCAAAAAATGAGGACGTTATAAAATTAGCACTTCCTGTGGATTTTTCGTTAAAAAAGGAAGTGGACCATTTCTCCACATTGGTTTGTCCGATTGACACCAAGCTTGGGTCCATAGTTCCCCATGTCTTCCTTAGGCATCGTGCAGAATTTCAGAACATCACCACTAGGTGGCGCTCTTTAAAATGAAGAAGTTTATATCTCTGCAACGGCACGTGTGATTAAAATTAAAATTGGTACGATGCTTGCCCATGACTCCCTGAGGCTCACTAAAAAAGGACAAAAAAAATACGCCACTAGGTGGCACTCTTTTGGCATGATAGATCACTGTGCGGAGACCGTAATAGTTATGAATATGAAATATTCATAACAGGGCACGTGTAGAGTAGTGCCTGAAGCTCACATACCAAAAATCGTGTTTGTCGTGCCCCCTACAGGATAAAAAAACAGCAGCCCTGGTGCCACATTTCACCGATATATAGGAATCTCGGTAGGCACGTGTAACATGCCGGGAAGTACAAAAAAGCCTCCTGGACCCATACCAGAAACCCCACAGGAAGTCGGCCATTTTGATTTAAAGTTTCACTTTCGGTGAGCTTTTCGCGTTGTATTTGAACGAACTCCTCCTAGGAAATTTATTGTATCTGCTTCAAAATTGGTCAGTACATTAAAAAAATGGTGCTGATTAAAAGTTGTGCTATTTGTGACGGCACGTTAAAGGGTGTGTCCGTGGCGTGCCCTCAAAGTTGGCCAGGTTTAATCAAATGTCAAACTGTGATTCCATTTCCGGCATTTAAGGGCTTCTGTTTTAACTAACTCCTCCTACAGATTTTATCAGATTGACTTCAATTTCGATCACTGCAATCTAGACACATTGGTTATCAAAAGTTGTGCTATTTGTGACTGTACGTTCAACAACGTGCCCGTGACGACATGACACCGATTGGCCATCAAACAGATATTACCCATATCTTCAGTGTACAGTCCCACCCTGAACATGTCCTCATAACTTCAGCGTACATGATCCAATCTCAATGAAACTTCACGTGTTTGATAACAGTCCCACCCTGAATACGTCTACATGACAATATTCAGACATAGTGATCGCGCAACCTACTGGCAACAGGAAGTAAGTGCTGCGTGTCGATTTTGAGCTGATTTACGTGAAATTTTCATGTTGTGGTCCGCACTTGACACGATGGCACGTGACACGGCCGCAGCACGCCCCGAGTCGCGTGGAGTGCGAGGTCCCGCCCAACGCTGCTTGCAGCTTTAATTAATATTATTATTATATACTGTTATTAACAATAACACAATACCATCATATCATCAGTATTATTACCACCATCTTGCAACTACAAGTTCTTTGCACCTTATCTACCTATTCATCTTTTTTATCTTTTCTACCTAAGTATTTTATTCTATTGTTGTATTTTATTCTATTGTATTTTATTGTATTTAAATGTACCTGGCTGCTATGATTATTAGGATATTCGGGGATTAATAAAGTCTATCTATCTATCTATCCATCTGAATCCGCCCTGGGCGTGTCCGTGGTGTGGTGTTAAATTTTGATGTACCGCCAGAACACACGAGTTTGCTATAACTTGAGTGTACATTGTCCAATCGGCTCCAAACTTCACTTGTCTGATAAGAGTATGGCCCTGAACACTTCTATGTGATAATATTCAATAATAGTGAGAGCGCCACCTAGTGGTGAAAGGAAATGTAATTGTTATACTTTTATGTATATCTTCCAGCAGATTGACCAGATCCAGCTAAAGTTCTGTCAGAAGTTCTTTAGGACGATGAGAATTTGAATGGAACCATGTTGCCATGGCGATGCGGCGAAACTCTGCTTTTCTGTTAACATTTGAACACTTTTTGGGGGGCTAAACATGCACGAAAACTCATGAAACTTGGCACAAAATTCAGTCATGGCAAAGGCTAAGGTATTATCTTTGTCCCGTAGATAGGCGTTGCTAAATGGCTTAGCCACACCCCCCAGAATAAACCCCCAAGACACGTATGACCGACATGTACGAAAATTGGTAGGCATGTGTATCGTGATGGGACAAGCAAAAACGCTTCTTGGACCCATAACCCAAACCCAACAGGAAGTCGGCCATTTTTAATTATTTGGTCATTTTCGGTGATTTTTCGCATTCTATTTGAACAAACTCCTCCTAGAGAATATATCTGATCAATTTCAAAATTGGTCAGTACAATCAAAACAAACTGTATATGAAAAGTTGTGCTATTTGTGACAGTACGTCGAACTGCGTGCCCGTGATGACGTGTCAGATTCCGCCGATTCGCCACAAAACAGATGGTACTCATAACTTCAGTGTACAGTCCAATCTCTAGTAAACTTCACATATTCTGTAACAGTCCCACCCTGAACACGTCCTCATAACTTCAATGTACATGGTCCAATCTCAATGAAACTTCACGTTTGATAAGAGTCATGCCCTGAACATGTCTACATGACAATATTCAGATATAGTGATACGACAACAGGAAGTAAGTGCTGCATGGCAATTTTGATCTGATTTACATGAAATGTTCATGCTGTGGGCCGCACTTGTTACGACAGCACTTGATGGGGCCGCAGCACACCCCGACACACACCGAGTGCCCGTTCATCGATGTCTGTCCATTAAATTCAGTATGAAGCTAATATCAGCAGCCAGTTAGCAAAGCCAGGCTAGCTGTAAAACCTTGTTTCCAAAAGTAACAAAATTCACATACCAATACTTCTTAAATTCACGTATAAACATGTTAATACATGTTAACATGTTTAAATAATTTCCCCCTGGGATTACTAAAGTATTTTTGATTCTGATTCTGATGTTATATCTTGTTTGTTTAATCTGTACAAAAACCAAACAAAAAAGTGAAAAAACAATTTTCAATAAAGTGGATTATGTACTGGACTATTTCTTGGCTGGGGCCTTTTGCCAGGCTTAGGTACAGCCCTTACTTGTAGGACTTGTTGCTCTAACCACAGCTGTAGATAAACTTTAAGTCAGTAAACTAAGCCAGTAATGTTGTGTTTACTCTGAAAATGGAAAACACTAGCCAGCAAAGAATGGAACGAAGCCACCCTGAGTGGACAATCGGACACCAAAGAATCTGAGTAGTGTGCTTGTGTCAACTTTGTACAAAGCAGCTATTTAACTCTACAACCACAAACAATCTGCAGACTTAGTTGCTAATGTTATCTTGCCACCAAAGTGAGGCAGTAGATTAGAGAGATCAAACGGATGGAGCAATATCAAGTGTACGAGAGAGAGAGCAAGAATTATATGGAAGGACACTGGTGTGAAAAAAACTAATATCTTAACCTTTAGTATGAAAGTTTGTGTGAAATATACCCTAAGCTGTGTCTAGTACAGACACTGAGTGTGTGATTCCTTCCTTCTCTTCCTCCTCCACCTCTAACTCACCTGTGCCATTGACAGGACAGGGATACACCTCACAGTTGTCACCCCAGCCGGCTCCCAGCGTGCAGCAGCACTCCTGAAGGGTGACATGGCTGGTCAGCACACTCTCACACAGGTTTTCATCGTTCAGGCGATAGTAACACTCCTTACGCTCCACTGATGACACTGAAAATGAAGGAACAGATGGAGACAAGAATGAACACACAGCAGGGGATAAGGATCAGATGGTAAATAAAAAAGGACATGCAACTAGTTATACACCGTGATGTCTTCTGGTTCTTTGTTCATTTGTACAAAAGCTGAAGGTGGCTCACCTGTGGGAACGGGCTCACACTTGGCAATCATGATGTTATAGTCCTGGCCACTTGGACACTCGCAGAGGAAGGTACCATCAACATTCACACACTGGGCTTCGCCACACACACTGCTCAGCAGCTCACACTCATTTACATCTGTGAAGGAGGAACAGAAATATATGATGATAAATATTATGGTAAATGGTAAATGGACCTGTACTTGTATAGCGCCTTGTCTAGTCTTCCGACCACTCAAAGCGTTTTTTTTACACTACGTGCCACATTAGCCCTTTCACACATATTCACTCAGTGATGGCAAAGCCCATCAAATGGAAAATAACTCACTCATACACATTCACACACCGATGCACAGCGTTGGGAGCAATTCGGGGTTCAGTATTTTACTCAAGGATGCTTTGACATGTGGCGGGAGGAGCCAGGGATCGAACCAACAACCTTCTGATTAGTGTAAGACCCGCTCTTCCTCTGAGCCACAGACTGGTGTTATTATTATTATTAGTGACATGCTTTATAATGCTTCGAAAGATAATACATCTAATGTATCATTAATAATGCAAGATGCAATCCATCACAATATGATATGATTTAGCAGAGTTATTATGAAATGAAACTGAAATAGTGTTGGATATAAACAACTTTAACGGTTTTGATTATTGATTTCTTCTCTTAACATAAAAAAGTAATGTAAAAGCCGCCGTCTGGCTTTAGCTGCAGATTTATGTGGGGCATTCAGGCCAAAAACATAAAATTTATGAAAGTACGAATTAACATTGTTCATAAATTCTTGAGGTTCTGCTTAATCCATGATGAAATTATCAACGTTTCTACACCAAAATGAAAACAGCTACTGTTATAATCATTTTACCTACATCTTGGGATCTGCAATTAAATACCCAAGACGTGCCAGATTTTTTGATGTTAGTGCAGTGGTTTCTAATAAAAGCTGGCCCAGCTTGGACTGAGGATGCTCCTGAGTCATGTTGATGGAGCAGGTCTCTTGACGAAATCGGATTCAAGATGATCAAACAACGAGAAATCAGAGACTGTTGTGCCCACATCTCTACAGAGACCTGCTCCATCAACATCCTAGATTACTGACGGGCACATGGTGCTCCGAGCCGACAGAGTGCACAACGAGGGGAGATGGACTTTGATAATGCTTTGTGTTCAATTGAGTCAAAGTGGATGGACACTGTTTCTTAAATATTTAACTTTTTACATAAAGATAAAACAATATTATCCTTTCTTCCTGGGTATTTAGGTGTATCTATATAAATACATGTATATCCTACTTTATTTTATTTCATTTTATGTTATTCTACTATAAATGTATTTATCATTCACTATGTTGTGTAGCATGAAGGGACTGCCACTTCATTTCGTTGCAGACTTGCGACTCTAATGATAAATACATTTCTTTGATCCTCGATCCTGAAGATAGATAGAAGAGAAATGGGGAGAGATGATGGTGAAGATAAAATCTCAGAGGCAAGAAGGGGAAACCACAGGAAGAGAAGACAGGATACAGGGAGTAAGGAGAATGAAGCAGTGTAAAAGTAAGAAACAGGAGAGAGGAAACCAGAGAAAGTTGGCTGATAAATGTAGAGGAATAGTTAGAGGGGAAGGAAGACAGAGAGACAACACACTCTGAATGGGTTAGTGGTACACCACCACTGTTGGGTTTTCAAGGATTGTGTGTGTGTGTGTGTGTGTGTGTGTGTGTGTGTGTGTGTGTGTGTGTGTGTGTGTGTGTGTGTGTGTGTGCATGAGTCCATCTGTGCAAGCCACAGTACAATGCTGGTTTGGCAGTGAAGAGGAGGCAGCTGGCTGGACTAAACTTGGGTGGGACCCAGCAGCACTGCCAAAGGACAGATGGGAAGTGTGTGTCATGGTGTATAAAGAACATACTGTATTCAGAATCAATCAAAAAAACTTTAATAATCCCAGGGGGAAATTACTTTATTGTTATTATTATTATTTATTATTGAGTGTGATAGTACTGTATTTCATATGTGTGTGTGTGTGTTTTTGTGGGGTTGGTCACTGGGAGAGTGTGTGTGGGGGAAGTTTTCTATCAGGGTTCAGCAAGGGGAAGTCTGCTCTGACAATGCTTCCTGCTCGAGGAAACTGGACTAGATGGATCTGCAGGGGCCCCATTAGCCTCGGAAACCACCAGCCCCTATCAGATCACACTCATTCCAAACCAAACTTGAGGAAAACCACTGATTTTCAACATTAGTTCCATGTATTTCTCATTGGGATGGTGTTTCCACAATACTTTAAAGATTATCTGAAAGAAACAACTAAGGCTAAAGGTGACAGGAAGGGTGACGCCCAAAATTCTCCAATAATGGCTAGGGTTTTGTAGGGAGCATGCTGTGTAAAGAACTTTGAGTGGTCTGAAAACTAGAAGGACCCTATATACACTGATCAGCCATAACATTAAGAGCACTGACTGGTGAAGCGAATAACATTGATTATCTTGTTATCATTGCACCTGTCAGGCAGCAAGTAAACATTTTGTCCTGAGGTTGATGTATTAAACCAGGGTGCCCAGGTGGTCATAATGTTATGGCTGATAAATAGCCTAGCTAACAAGCCAGGCAACCAAAAAGTGGCCCACTGACTCTCGATATGTTGGATGACCCTCAAGTTGCATGTCACAGTGGTTCCTCATAAGGCCCTAAACCTAAACCCTGTGGTGGTAGCAAACTTCCCCAACTTTGGTGGCAGACATCGAATGTATTAGTGTTGTAGTATTTTGACACTTTTAAAGTTTAATACATGTATTCAATTCAATTCAATTAAATTTTATTTGTATAGCGCCAATTCATAACAGAAGTTATCTCAGGACACTTTTCCAATAGACAGGTCTAGACCAAACTCTTTATAACATTATTTACAGAGACCCAACAGTACGACCATGAGCAAGCACTTGGCGACAAGGGCAAGGAAAAACTGCCTGTTAAAAGGCAGAAACCTAGGACAGAGCCTTCGGCTCTAGGTGGGTTGTCGTCTGTCTCGACCAGTTGGGGTGAAAGAGAGAGAGACAGAGAGAGAGAGAGAGAGAGAGACAGACAGACAGACAGACAGACGCACAGTAACAACAGTATTGGCAATGGCAATCTAGCAGGACCATGGCAGGAGGCTCCACCAGGATCAATAAGAACCTGCGAGACGAGAAAGCACAAGAACTCCGGGGAAGAAGTGAAGTTAGTAACATGCATTAATGGGACATGAATGAGTGCAGAAAGAGAGAGGAAGAGAGGAGCTCAGTGCACCATGGGAAATCCACCGATAGTCTAGGCCTATAGCAGCATAACTAAGGGATGATTCAGGACTCACCTGATCCAGCCCTAACTATAAGCTTTATCAAAGAGGAATGTCTTAAGCCTACTCTTGAATGTGGTGAGGGTGTCTGCCTCCCGAACCACAACTGGAAGCTGATTCCACAAGAGAGGAGCTTGGTAACTGAAGGCTCTGGCTCCTGTTCTACTTTGAGACTATAGGAACCACAAGTAGCCCAGCATTCAGAGAACGTAGTGTTCTAGAGGGGTAATAGGGTACTATGAGCTCTTTAAGATATGAAGGGGCCTGACCATAAGGAGCTTTATAGGTGAGGAGGAGGATTTTAAATTCTATTCTACATTTTACAGGGAGCCAGAGCAGAGAAGCTAGTACAGGAGAGATGTGATCTCTTTTTCTAGTTCCTGTCAGTACTCGTGCTGCAGCGTTCTGAATTAATTGGAGCATTTTAATGGACTTATTGGGGCAACCTGATAATAGAGTTGCAGTAATCCAGCCTTGAAGTAACAAATGCATGGATTACTTTTTCTGCATCTGTCTGTGATAGGATGTGTCTAATTTTTGTAATATTACGTAAATGAAAGAAGGCAGTCCTGGAGGTCTGCTTCATGTGGGAGTTAAAAGACAAATCCTGATCAAAGATAACTCCAAGATTCCTGACATGTAGTGACCTATTTTAGTGGTTTTCTGTCTTACTTGCAAAGAATTTCAGTAAGCTGGACCTTGATTGTAAACCTATGATTTGAAGTTTATGTGGAGTCTGATTATATTCATTTTACATGTAAATACACTATAAAACACTTACACACCTTAATATACATATAAAAAACTCCAACACGTACCCACACAGCCTTGGCCATCCTGGGACTCCTGATAGCCTTGGTCACAGAGGCATTGGAAGGAGCCCAGTCTGTTCTCACAGAAGCCATGAGGGCCACACAGTGTCTCATTGAGCCCACACTCATCAATATCTGGAGAGCAAACAAAGAAATGTCACATCATACTTTTTCCTTCAGTGATTTGCTCTATGCTTTCCTTTCTAACACTCGTTACAAGCCCCTGTAGTATCTGTTTCTCCAACATCTTATTTTTATTGTTTAGGATTTCATTGTAAAACACTTTAAACTGCACTATTGTGTATGCACATCTGTTGAACAAATAAATGCTGATTGTTTGCAAATATAACCACTCATACACTCTCACTACATATCCCGTCTAAGAAGTCCTATCTGGGTCACTGGATTCAACTGAATACAGCAACTGGTGTTAAAAGTTGCAAATAAGTCATGTATTAACTGGTTTTATGAATACAGACAGCCAGACACGCACACACATACACACACTCACACTTAAGTGTGAGTCCCTGCATATATCATGAGGCAGAGAGCAACAAATATCCCTCCTTGTCTAGACAGCCAGCTCAAAGGCTTCCGTCTCTTTCTTTTCTTTCATTTTTTTCTTTCCTCTTTGTTTTTTTCTAAGGCAGGAAAGGCTAAGACTCCTGTCATGGTAGAGGAAATAGGAGCAGCATATACGTGAAATAAATTCAAGACTTTTTTTTATATCTTTCTTATTTGAAAGGTTGTAACATAGAGTGATAGAGAGGGTGGAAATAGAGGGCTGAAGATAAGAATAGAAACAAAGACAAAGGAAAAAGTGATGGACATATTAACAAAATAACCATCTATAATGTGAATGTACATTTAAAACAAGGAACGGTTGGGGCGCCTGGATAGCTCATCTGGTAGAGCTGGCGCCCCATGTACCAAGGCTGAGTCCTTGCTACAGCGGCCTAGGATTCAAATCCGACCTGTGGCCCTTTGCTGTGTGTCAATTGACAAAGCCTACACATGACTGGGTTCAGTAATACTTGGAAACAACTGGTTGGAACAAAGCTTTGTCTGACCACATCTGAAATCCAAAGTGTTTATGCCTCTTCCAAAAAGCCATACTGGAAGGTGGAGTGAAAAGCTGTCATAGAGAGGGGAGACGGGAGACGCGATTTGACTGAGTCACACAACACTAACCAACAATTCCAGCCAGGATTTGTGTGTCAGATAACGTTAAATGAGGTGCCCACAGACATTCGGCTTACTTTGTAGTTTGCTATGGTATATGCTGATGTTGTGATGTCAGTCAGTCAGTCAGTTAATAGCAGGATAGTTGTGAGTATTGCTGTCTGGAGCTGGTATGCTGCCTCTGGAAAATCAACTCGTCCTCTCTGCATGTTAGATGCGCAGCAGGAACTTTAGTGATAGTTTGCTAACCCACTACATACAGTAGCTAACATTAGCTACATTACTTGCTGTGTCATTGTTCACTCTATATGATAGTATTTTTTATGGTATTTGAATCCTCAAGAATCACTCACCCCCCCTTTAAAAGGTAAGACTAACAATACTCTTATTTGTCAACAAACTCACAAAATCCTACAAATGCTCCAATATGATTTTTTAATAAAAATGTACGTATGTGAAAATTAAGAATAATCGTAGTCATATACATGAATGTTTCAAAGGCAAGTTCTATTAAATGAAAAAACCAAACCGTGTGTGTGTTTCTTTTCTTTGTATTTGCAGCTTACCATCACAGGAGGGTGTGTCAAGGTTGGCAGTGAATCCACTCTCACACACACACAGATAGGATCCCTCTGTGTTGAGACACTCGCCATTGGGGTAACAGAGCTCTGGCTGATCCACACACTCATCAATATCTGCGAGGACAGAGACAGAAATCCACTTTGAGGCCTGTATGTATGTGTGTGTTCATCCATCCAAGCAGCACTACACACAATGGGCCCTATCTTGCCGATCTGAAACGCAAGTAGCTTTGTGGGCGGATCTCGGGCGCTGTTGCTATTATGCCGGCGGGATAAATGACTCTTGCGCCCGGCGCAAATCTAAAATGGGTTGGTCTGAAGTAGCTACATTAGTCATAGGTGTGGTTTGGGGGTAACTTGCAATAAACCAATCAGAGCATCATCTCACATTCCCTTTAAAAGCAGGCGCGCTTGTTCCATTTGCCAGGCGCACGCCAGGAGCGGTTCACAGTCGAGGAGACCGACGTTCTCGTCAGGGCCGTAAAATACCGAGAAGTGTCATTATTGACATGAAATAAATGTAGCACAGCCATACAATGAATCAAAACAATGTAACGCAGCTTCCAAGAAGAAGACCCTGGCCTCGGGAGCAGTGCGCACGGGCCGAGCAGTGCGCAAGGGCCAGCTGAGGAGGGAGCGGCGCAAACACCAAGGTGCAGAGGATCCAGACCCACTACATGCTGGAGGACCACCCGTTCCTGCGGCAAACCGGGTTTGACATGCTGGAGCGGGAGCTGTCCGGGATGCGGCAAAGTATGAATGCCCGTCTTGACCGGGTGGCGATGTTGCTGCTGCCTCTCAGGCGCATCCCCTCAAGTCTGCGCCCTTAAAATAGCATCTGAATAAGCGCCACTGACTTTAGACTAGGTTTTTCCTGGTCTGTGGCGGAATTGTTTTCTGAAACAGCAAAATAGCACCAGGGAATGTTTGCGCCGGAACACACCTCCTCTTTTTGCTGAACCGCCCCCGGGAGCGCAAGTTCATTCTCTAATTTAAGGACGTGCGTCGGTGAAGGGAAAATTCCAATGTGCATAGAGTGCAAAATAGGAATTATACAAGCGCCAGTGTACAAAGTCAATTGTGCTGAGTGCAAGATAGAGCCCACTGTGTCACTATAACATCCCAGATCCGAAACATGTGCAGTGATGAGAGGATGTAACCCTGCTGCAGCGCTCACCTCTGCAGCTAGTGCCGTTGATCTGTCGATATCCCTTGGGGCAGGTACAGGTATAGGAGCCAATGTTGTTAACACACTCCCCGACAGCCTCACAGGACCTGGCTTCTTCTAAACACTCATCCACATCTGGAACATATACACATCAGTCCTATGAGAAGAGTGCAAGTGGTACACTGATGCCCACAAGTGTCATGGAAATGGTTATAAAGCATCCTAATAACCGATATGTGATTGAACAATAATAAGAAAAGCTGAAAGGAACCGCAGCGAGAAAATGGAAATGCTAATGGGAAAAAAAAGGAATTACTGTTCTAAATGCCTGATAAAAATCAGTACTCTTGACTCTAAACTTGTGAATCTCTTAAAACTGCTTTGCTCTAAATTGATTTTGAAATGGCATTAATTATTTAGATATCTACTAACCCATTTTGAAATATTGTTTTATGTTGTTTTTTATTAATCCCTTTTGACCTATTTATTGGTAAATGGATGGATCTATACTTTCTAGTCTTCTGACGCTATTACACACCGATGCACAGTATCGGGAGCAATTTTGGGCTTCAGTGTCTTGATACTTTGACATGCAGCGTGAGTAGCCGGGAATCGACCCACTAACCTTCCGATTAGTGAACGACCCACTCCACCTCTGAGCCACAGCTGCCCCTCAAATAAGATAAATCCCAGAAGTCTTGAGCAGTAGTGTCTATGTAACTGTGAATGTAATTTCCTAGGAAGAGTACTATATTACCCTTTTGTTGATGTTTATACCCAGCATATTAAACTCACAATAACATACAGACATTACATGATGGCAGATATCATTCAGATCCATCTTATATATGAAAATTCTCATTGACATTGAAAAATGTCCCAGCAAAAGCAGTTTGCAGTGTGTGCCAAACATTATCAATTTGAATCATACATTTTTAAATTTTTTTACCCTAGTTTTATTAACTTAACCATTTGACCATGACTACCTTAACAATGTTTAAAAAGTGTAAGTCTGGAAATTACAAATCCTATAAATATATTGTGTATTAAAAACTATTGCATTCAGGTGCTTCTTGGAAGCTGCAACATTCACATTTACATGGTATGTATATAAACAAAATCTCACCTGTAAGACATATGAATTCTTGAATTTGAAAAATTGTTCTTCAGCAGCTGCTGGATCGCACAACAAACGACTGCACTATTCAGGGAACATTCAAGTGGCCCCTGCTTTCAAACTGCATTACCACACAATGACCATGCATGTTTTACAAAAAGATATTACAGGACTATCAGTCACATCATATCACATTTTTTAACATTGCTGTCTCCTGAAGTGTTTTACATCCAGATTTTTTTTTTATCTTCCTTTTTTAAATCTAAATGTATCCTATTTTTAATTATATTTATTCTTGCTTTATTACAAAGCTAATTATTATTTGCTTTTCGGTAAAGAAATTCGTGTAGCTTTTTGTGTATTGGGGCACTTTTTGCCTTTATTGTCCAGGAAAGCTCAAGATAGATAGGAAGATAGAAAGAGAGGGGATGACACACAGCCACAGGTCAGGGCACCAGCTCTACAGGTGAGCTACCAGGGCACCCCTTGTGTTCCATTTCTTGTGTGAATGTGCCATAGACAAAAAGTTAAAGTATCATATCACTAATAATTATTATTCTTGTTAGTAGATTACGCTTACTTTGCTGGATTACATGAAATGAAAACAATTGATTGCCTAAAAGGTAGAAAAATTTAAACATGAATCAAACAACCCATGGTTTGTTTTGGAAAACGGTCAGCAGTACTGTGAACTATAAGCCACTTGTAGTTAATAATATAAGGATGCTTTCACTTTTGTGTTAAAGTAGTTTGTAATGTTCAACGTGTGCTCCTTAAACATCTAAACGCAGTGAAAAGAGTGAGTGAAAAGCTGGCCGTCATAAGGGGGGACATGATTGCCACTGCGTGGATGTGAGCTGATCCAACTCCTGATCTGTATAAGCAACATATAGTCTATATTCACAGATTATTATTTTTACAGATATGTGCATTACCAACTACACAGTTTATTATTATAATATTGTCCTTAAAATGTGTAGTACTAATAATACAATGTATCATACCATCACAATGGTCTCCAGCTGGGGACACGGTAAAGCCTACTCCACAATGACAGATAAAGGAGCCCTCAGTGTTCTGGCAGTGGCCTCTGGTACAGACCCGCTGATCCTGGCACTCATCTATATCTTAAACATCACAAACAATAGAATAACTACAGCACAAAAACAATGCAAAGGTTCAAACAAATAATGTGCAGTAAATTCTTTTAGTAAATTAATATTTAAGTTAATTGCTATAAAGACCATGTGTAAATAAGAAGGAACAAACAGCTTGTCTGACACCGTGAACAACTGCAATGAATGCAATGTCCACTCATACTGTGATTTATAGGCTGAGTGGTACACAGTGTTGAAAGATGATCTAATTAAATGCTTGAGGGCTAAATACTTCAGGTGAACACAGGCAGAATAATTGGAGTGGAGTATATTATAATTGGTCAATATTATATTGATATACAATGGCAGTATTAAGTTGCCTTTAATAATTAAACTTGAATAATTACACCAAAGGATTTTGAATGGCAAAGCTATAATGTCATGGCCCCTGACATTTGTAGTTATTACAGTTTCTACGTATAGGGTTATTCTGACCAACAGCAAAATCAGTGTCTATGTTTACATGCATAAAATATTCTGGGTTTTTTGCCCCTATTTTGTAAATACTAGTAGTAAATACTCCTACTGTTTACATGTCTAATAAAAATGTATATTACATGCCACTGCGCATACTCCATTTAAATGGTATGGACTTGTATAGGGCTTTAACTCTACACCACATTCACACAGTGATAGCAAAGCCCATCAAACAGAACTAACTTATTCATACATGCAAAGCAACAGTATCTTGCTCAAGGATACTTTGATGTGCATTCCAGTACAAGATCCACAGTATATTCCAGAACAATTTGGAGCCTTATAGCTAATCACGCAAGTATTTTTAAACACTGTCAATAAGAAAACAAACAGGCAAAAATGACACTAGTTATGGGAATCTGAATTTGCAATCACATCTTTTTAGGCAGTTTTTGGTGGGGAAGGAAGACATCTTAGTTTAAAAAATCTATACTGTTTATAGTTCACTCAGTATCAAACCTAAATAATTCTGCTGCGCTGAAAAGGGTGTAGGGCTTTCACCACATATTTAGCCACTCCTCTGTGACCTCCACTAACCCTGTCCAGACTAATTTTCTTTTGCTATTAGGTTGCTCACTGGATGGCTGCGCTACTGCTGCAGAAGTAAATTGAAACTGAAACTGAGCAGGGCTGGCAAGCAAGCATAGTATGCATATTTCATCGTTTATCAAAATCAGATAATTTAATATATAATTTATAATATATTGCATGTTTTCTTGCAGAAAGAATAGAACAGACGCTGAAGTTGCCAAAGATTGCGACGGACCACGATGCATTGATCAGCCTAATTGGTTTACAAGGAAGCTCTCTAGCTCTCCATACACCAAGAGGCATGAGAGTGCAGTTAAAGCACCCCACATAACAATCACTCTGACAAAGTACTCAATGAAGAGTGTCTATAGAAGAACAGAGAAACAATAGAAACGAATGAAAGAGCAGGGGGAGTTAAAACATAATATGTATAAGTAGGGGTGGGCGATATGGGCAAAAAATAATATCTCGTTTTTTTTTAGATTTTGGCGACAACGATAATCAGTCGATATCCTTTAAAATGTGATTGGAATTGTCTGAGTTAGGGCTTGTGTCCACCAAATGCGTTTTTAGCGCTGAGAGCGCTCAAAAACTCATTTTCCGAGCGCCCAGTGATGTTAAAGGTTGAACAGATTTCAACTTGAAATGCTCTGAGCGCTGCCCTAAAAACCGTCTCCGCTGACATCTTTTTACCGCTGAAGCCGCATAGCGCTCTGAACGCTGAAGCTCATAGGATTTGTATTCAAAATAGGCGCTGCTAGCACTAAAAACGTGTTTGGTGCACACAGACCCTTATACCTAGTCTTTTCGAAACCAAACCATTTCCATGCCAGAGAGGTAGACCCACATCTCGGCACTAAATCATCTGAAGTACCGGTAGCTTTAGGGACTGGAGGTGCTTGCATTTTCTCTCTAGCATCACAACGCGGTGCTAAACTGTTGCAAGGAGGATGCTAGCGAGAGGTCATGTGATCACGTAGGCCCACTAGTTGTGTGACTGAATCCTGCCATGCTGTAGAGAGCGTTGCTGCACCGTGTATTAAGTGGATGTGAAGAGTTTCCGCGTGCGTTTCAATATTTTTGGCGAAGTAATTTAAATACTCGATAATGGAAATTTGCACATCGTCAAAACAACGACAATATATCGCCCACCCCTATGTATAAGTTAAATCTAGTGTGTAGGATTTGGTGGCATCTAGTGATGTAGATGCAGAATGCAACTTCCTCCCTTCACCCTGATAAGGGCCATAAGCCCAGACGTAAAGCTGAGAGACATGCTTGAAATAAAGACTGAGTTGACACTGCCTCAGCTAAAAACAATATTAAAAGGGACATTTAGCAGGACTCTGCAGCCCAGAATACCCAGCCAACAAGGAACACTAAAGAGTTATCCAGAAAAAAGACAAAGGCACCTCATCCCCCACCTGAGCCTGAGATGTACACCATGGTAAGAGAGCTTAAAACAGAGGTAGCTGAAATTAAATGTATGGTGCTGGCCTCTATGAGCACAGGAATGCCACAAAACCTCAAGCAAATGGGAGGCAACAAACACTCGGCTTGACCTGGCTTGCCATGACAAAAGGAGAGGGAGGAATCTGCAGTCACTGCTTCAAGTGTGGTCAGTCAGGCCACACCTCCAGAGGATGCAGAGCTCCATGCCAGATGATTGGAAACTAATTCAATTCAATTCAATTCAATTCAATTCAATTCAATTCAATTTTATTTGTATAGCGCCAAATCATAACAGAAGTTATCTCAGGACACTTTTCAAAATAGAGGAGGTCTAGACTGTACTCCTAACAACTAAAATTATTTATACTGTCTTTTAAGAGGCAGAAACCTCAGACAGACCCCTGTTCTAGGTGGGTGGCCGTCTGCCTTGACCAGTTGGGGTGAGAGAGAGAGAGAGAGAGAGAGAGAGAGAGAGAGAGAGAGAGAGAGATGGGGTAAAGACAGCAGGACAGAGACAGAGACAAAGGTGCACAGCAACAACAGTAACAACAAAGCTTTATCAAAGAGGACCGTCTTAAGCCTACTCTTAAATGTGGAGGGGGTGTCTGCCTCCCAAACCGAAACTGAAAGCTGGTTCCACAGGAGAGGAGCTTGGTAGCTGAAGGCTCTGGCTCCTGTCACTCGTGCTACAGCGTTCTGAATTAATTGAAGCGTCTTAATGGACTTATTGGGGCAACCTGATAATAAGGAATTGCTCTAATCCAGCCTTGAAGTAACAAATGCATTGATTAGTTTTTCTGCATCCGTCTGTGACAGCATGTGTCTCATTATTGTAATGTTACCTCAATGAAAAAAGGCAGTCCTGGAGGTTTGCTTTATGTGGGAATTAAAGGACATATCCTGATCGAAGATAACTCCAAGATTTCTGACCGTGGTGCTATAGGCCAAGGTAATACCATCTAGAGTAACTATATCTTTAGACAGTGAGAAATTGCAGCTCATCCAGGTTTTTATGTCCTTAAGACATGTTTGTAACTTAGATAACTGATAAATTTCATCGGGCTTGATCAACAGATATAACTGGGTATCATCTGCATAACAGTGAAAGTTGTGGGAAGACAATTAAATGTTCAATATCAATGCCATACGACAGAATGAGGTCAAGAGTGAGATTAAAACAATGAGTGGGTTTACTTACACTGTGACAGAAGCCAATTGAGTCTAATAATGAAATGAAATTTTATTTGTATAGCGCCAATTCATAACAGATGTTATCTCAGGACACTTTTCAAATAGAGTAGGTCTAGACCGAACTCTTTAAAACATTATTTACAGAGACCCAACAGTACCACCATGAGCAAGCACTTGGCGACAAGGGCAAGGAAAAACTGCCTGTTAAAAGGCAGAAACCTAGGACAGATCCTTCGGCTCTAGGTGGGTGGTCATCTGCCTCGACCAGTTGGGGTGAAAGAGAGAGAGAGAGAGAGAGAGAGAGACAGAGAGAGAGAGAGAGAGAGAAAGAGAGACAGACAGACACACAGACAGACAGGTGCACAGCAACAACAGTATTGGCAATGGCAATCTAGCAGGACCATGGCAGGAGGCTCCACCAGGATCGATAAGAACCTGCGAGATGAGAAAGCACAAGAACTCCGGGGAAGAAGTGATGTTAGTAACATGCATTAATGGGACATGAATGAGTGCAGAAAGAGAGAGGAAGAGAGGAGCTCAGTGCACCATGGGAAATCCCCCGATAGTCTAGGCCTATAGCAGCATAACTAAGGGATGGTTCAGGACTCACCTGATCCAGCCCTAACTATAAGCTTTATCAAAGAGGAATGTCTTAAGCCTACTCTTGAATGTGGTGAGGGTGTCTGCCTCCCGAACCACAACTGGAAGCTGGTTCCACAGGAGAGGAGCTTGGTAACTGAAGGCTCTGGCTCCTGTTCTACTTTTAGAGACCATAGGAACCACAAGTAGCCCAGCATTCAGAGAACGTAGTGTTCTAGAGGGGTAATAGGGTACTATGAGCTCTTTAAGATATGAAGGGGCCTGACCATGAAGAGCTTTAAAGGTGAGGAGGAGGATTTTAAATTATATTCTACATTTAACAGGGAGCCATTGCAGAGAAGCTAGTACAGGAGAGATGTGATCTCTTTTTCTAGTTCCTGTCAGTACTCGTGCTGCAGCGTTCTGAATTAATTGGAGCGTTTTAATGGACTTATTGGGGCAACCTGATAATAAAGAGTTGCAGTAATACAGCCTTGAAGTAACAAATGCATGGATTAGTTTTTCTGCATCTGTCTGTGATAGGATGTGTCTAATTTTTGTAATATCACGTATATGAAAGAAGGCAGTCCTAGAGGTCTGCTTCATGTGGGAGTTAAAAGACAAATCCTGATCAAAGATAACTCCAAGATTCCTGACAGTGGTGCTAGAGGCCAAGGTAATGCCATCTAGAGTAACTATATCTTTAGACAGTGAGTCTCTAAGGTTTTTGGGGCCAAGAA